GATCTCCCTCCGTGAATCCAACCCGCTTCTACAACCCGCCAATGACGGCTTGTATAAGCGGTCATATTTACGCATTTCTTCCGACAAAAGTTCTTAAATCTGATCCGTTCTCTCGTAAACATTCTTTGTTTTAAAGGATGTAGTTAGCGGACCAATCGCAGCCTGGTGCGCTGCGGGAGGCTTGCGTTGCTTGCGCCGCTTTCGACGCAAGCCTAGAAAAATTTACAGACACATTTTTATTTTATACCTATCAAAGTCATTTAAAATGTGACGCTGTAGCCTACACCAACACTCATTAAAATACTAATTAAAAAACAAAGAAACATGGAGTTCTGAAAAACTCACACTTTTATTTATCAAATGAGTCGGAAAATGAATAGAAAAAAAAATAGTCAAGACATTGACAAGATTAGAAATGATTCTTATTTGAAATATTAATTTTGTTGTTCAAACTTTGCTTTGGTCAAAGAATGCTCCATTTGCAGCAATTACTGCATTGCAGACCTTTTGGCATTCTAGTTGATTTGTTGAGGTAATCTGTGGAAATGTAGACAATTAGCAAACACGATGTACCATTAGAAGACTGGAGGAATAGTTACTGGAAATGGGCCTCTATACACCGGGTGTAACCGGGTTAAAAACCAGGTGTTTCCACCTAGAATGGTCATTTACCACATTAACAAAGTATAGAGTGTATTTCTGATTAATTTAGCATTATCTTCATTGAAAAAAAAGTGCTTTTCTTAAAAAATAAGGACATTTCTAAGTGACCCCAAACCTTTGAACAGTAGTGTGTATATATGTGTATATATATATATATATATATATATATATATATATATATATATATATATATATATATATATATAGCCTACTTTTTAATTAATATATATCCACCCACCCAACAGTTGTAGATGGTGTCATCTGCACAGTTGTAAACCCTGCAGATACTCAGATCTGGTCTCAGATGGTAGTTAAAAGTATTCAGAAACAGTATCTTAAGTAACAGGAAGATGATGATGAGGAGGAAACTCTGTCTGCTGCCACAGGGAGAGATCCGGAGGGGCCTACTGAAGTGTGTCTTAATATTATCTACTGGCAGTGCTCTGCCCATTCACATTCTAGAGTGGAATTTGGATATTGACATGTAGACTGAAGTGAAATGAAATCTATGCTCTGGAATGAGCATAGATAATGGATAACTAGCACATTCTTGTCCTTGAACAGAACATGGTTGGGCATCACCAGGACGAGGGTCCATCAACGTCCACAGCACAGCTTGAAACAGTGAGATTTTCGGTTAATAACATGTTAAATCTGTATGTGGAACTGTAGGAATTAAATGTCGTCCATATCTTTCCTAGTTACCAGTAAAGCGGTAGCGTTCTAACCGAAATTCCTCTGGAAATGATAAAACGTCTAATCTGGGTCGGAAGACTCTCTCGCGACGTAAAGCATTTCGAATCACTAAGGCTTCGATGTCAATTGGATTTGGTAGGAATGGGCAATCCATGTCTACCAGCTTTCTTCATGTGGGAGGAGACGGTAGAAACTCAGGGTTTCTTATAGTAAACCTGCCAGCGAGCAGATTATGTTATGGGGGTCGTCATGGCGCAGGGGTTAGAGAAGGTGTGCTGGGAAGCACAAGGTTGTTGGTTCGGTTCCAGGCTGCCCCATGTTCCACGTCGAAGTGTCCCTGAGCAAGACACCTAACCCCTAATTGCTCCCTGGGCAAAAATGTGAAAAAATCCATGGGTTTAAAAGTGTAATATAAGTTGCTTTGGATAAAAGCGTCTGCTAAATAACATGTAATGTAATGTAATGTTCACAGAATCTGTTACCATGGTGATTGACTCAGAGTTTTAGTTACCTCTCTATCTGGAACGGATAACTCAGAGTTTTCCTGATCTCAGGGTTAACTTACTCTGAGTTTTCACATAACCCGCTTTCTGGAATACCCCCCTGGACAAGCCTTTGTGCTGTTTTGTTGTGTAGTAGTCACATGTAGTAGTAGTAGTAGTAGTAGTAGCTGGTTGTATTTGAACAACAAATACAAGGCTAAGCAGTATTATGACTGTTTGACGGCGGTAAACTGTATTATCGCTCTCATCTGGAGGAGACAAAGACACAACTGCATAGGCTACAGACAATCAGAAATGTAGACACTACCAGGGTCATGTTAATACAGAGTTGAATACCAACAGGGAGAAGGTTAGTATATAACAATCTCAGGTTAGCGCCTCAAAAAAAGTATTTTTAGAAATCCTGAATCATATTAATTTACCCCATTCAAGCAAAAAAAATGTTCTTGGCAATCTTCCTCAGCAGTCTGCCTGTTTATAGCTCGACATCATGGGACGAGTGTTTACAAGGAAACATGGCCCTTTGATTGATATGTGACCTTTTATGTGGAGTTCAATTCAAAGGCAGCACAGCAAGAAATGCTTTTACCTCCCAAATCGTGCGCACTGTAAAATGAGTACATTATACACTCCTTACAAACATGCTTCAAAGATTTTGATATAATCAGGGACTTCTCCGAAGTTTCCCTGACTTTGATGTGGTCAAGGGCAGAGAACAACACGTCTGTCCTTGCTCACATGCAGTTTTCTCCCTGGCTGACACATGTTGTCATTTGTGTAAGAATGAGTCCGTTTTCCAACTACCCACACTTGTCGTTAGCGTATATTTTTATGAGCATAGGCCTTCAGTTTGGTTACGGTTAGTCCTGTGTTGGCCTTGTTCCTACAGTGCGGAGAGTCAGGGGACACTCACTCTCACATTTCTGTCGTTTGACGTTAATTGATGTCAGTGGAAAATTCCACAAGCGTTGATGTGATTGACATTGTTGTTATAGATTAATTATTTTAAAGAATATCTCAATGAACAGATGGACTGTTACTAGTCATGAAATAATAATAATAATAACAAGTATATCAACAACCAAACATACATTTATTTATTAATGATGGTACTCATATTTATTTTCCTTTATGCGATGAGAAGTGTCACTCGACAGGACATTTGAACTATCTGTCTGATGTGAGTTATTGTGAACCCAAACTCTGAAGGGCCAGTTATGGGCCTAAGCGCTGGCTGTAATCATATCCATTGTGGTTAGCGAGGTGCCGCACTATTTCAGCCTGCCTGACAGAGTGATGGATGGTCTGCTTTACAGAGCAGGTTGCCAAAAAGACAGTTTTGTCAAGTTCTGCCCCGGTCTCTCTCCATGATCCTTGTTTAGTTGAATAATGTCGGGCATGCAATGACTCTAGCTTTTTAGCTATCCTGACAGTGGAGAGTTTTGGGCTACACAGTGGCAAGTTGTCCTTTTAAGTCAACAGGGCTCCAATTAAGTTAACAGCCAACCTCCTAGCAAAGCTGGCAAACATTTATCACATATATATTGTTTATAGCTCTTATAATAGAAAAGAGCATTCTGTTTTTAGTCCTATTTAGTAAATGGGGTAGTGGTGCAATTTAGTCTCTTGTGATCAAAATTAGTATGACAACAGCAAAGCACAGGAAAAAAACATTTTCCCTCCAACCTTTTTGCAGATGAAAAAGAAATTAAAGCAAAGACTATTTTGGCCGGACTTTTATTACCTCATGCGTCTCTCAGCGTTCCTACGGTGGCCCTGAAGTGCAAAACACAACGGCAAATAGGAAAACACAAGGACATTAACTTCTTACGGAAAGGGTAGGGCCTTATAGCAGGAAGCAGAGGACGGAGCCTTCTCATTGGACAGACGGACTATCTGTCTTTTAATCCTTTTAATCCGAAGCCTTTTGCTGGCGACGGAAAGTGACATGGAGGATTCAAATTACCGTGACTTCTTTAACTATTTGCACAATCGGATTTTGAAAGCTGAGAAATGCCGCTTTCTAGATATTCTGTCAATCAATAAATCAGTGGCTGGAGAGCCTGTGATGAGGGTGGAAGTGAGCGCAGCAGGAGAGCTGCAGCAGAAAGTCACGGAGAGATGGCAATGTTTTACGACTGTCTCAAATGTGTTCTACTAGCGTTTTACCATCGTTTTACCGGTGTTTTGTTGTTGTAAATAAAAGGGGGGCAGGGGGGCTGGCGCGGACGCTACGGCCGACACGGCTCAGGGACCGGAGTCCGATTCCTTGGCGTGATCAATTGGATGTGTGGCGGGAGTGCGTGACACTTGAGAGCCCTGTATTATTTCCTGTTAAAAGACATACAGTCCGTCTGTCCAATCAGAAGGGTCCGTCCTCTGCTATAAGGCCCTGTCTTTCCGTAAGGAGTTAATTGCCGTTGTGTGTTCCTATTTGTCGTTGTGCTTTGCACTTCAGGGCCACCGTACGTTCCCGCCCTACATCGAAACGTCCTATTGTGTTGTTGATGTTTTTTAAAATGATCTTTGCTTGTTTCATTACTCTAACAACTTTCATTCTAAAAGGTTACATCTCTGCTTTCAAATTTTTACACGGATGACTTATTTCTACTATTTGTGATACTATTCTCCAGCAACTTTTCTCTCATATGAACCGTGATCAGACAGTGTTGTTATCCAGTGACCTCCCCAAAGGGGAAACTAAGTTTTCTTCTTTTCTACTGTTTCCTTCTCACTTTTGCCTGAATGACGTTAATGTCTTGGCAAGTCTCTTGAGGTGCCTCTCTGGCCTCGTACCAGTTACCACCATTTTATGGTCGGACAGACAGATATTTAAAAACCCTGAGTCTGAGCAGTCCTATTCAGTCTGCGCAGCCCTCCTGCTTGCCTTCAACCCCCTCCCCCCCTAGCATAAAATAACACAACCTTTGCCAAGGGTAGGGAGAGCTATGTTTGAATTCCCCAAAAGAAAAGGAACATATAGCCCAACTTCAAATCCAAAACTCAACAATGAATCCTGTAAAAGAATGGGAATAGAGTCTACGGGATACAAATGTTAATGTTAGGTCAGCTATGTCTGAAATAGAGGATCTCTGCGTTTTCTTGTTTGCCTAACCTCATGTTTTCATTCACACACAGGACCCCCCGGATCCAGAAGAGGAACTTACAGCCAAGGTAGACCTGCTGTCCCTTTACTGTATGTCTATGGCTCTTTTTTACACAAAGCATCAACAGAGTAGGCTGGACTTTTGCAGCAATAACCCATTCACTGTTGCACCAGTTTCATTTTCTTTTCTATTGCCAGCTGACCAGTATAACCACCCTGCCTCCTAGAGTTAGATCCAAAAGGCGAATACATACTCCATAATATGAGAATACATACAAAGGGATGTTAATATACTTGCTTTGTGTTGTTTGCTAACGTGTTAACTAATACAACTTTCTACAGTGAGATACACTCAGTTATAAAGACAGCATTGGTTTTATCTAGCTATTAAACTGACAAGAATTGACTGAATTGATTGAAATTCAGTGTGTAGGATTTAGCTGGATTTAGAATGTATTAAAGAAATTGACTATAATACCCATAACAAGGTGGTTTTAAAGTGGAAAAGCTGTTGTGTATTTATTGGCTTAGAACTAACAGTCATATGTACAGAAGGAGCGGATCCTCTCAGAATTCGCCATGTTTCTACCGTAGCCCAAAATGGATAAACCGTACACTGGTTCCAAAGGGTGCCTTTTTTGTTTCTACACTACCTGAAGGCCACTGTTGTCGTCCAACATCGGTTTAAATGACAAATATTCAGTTCAATCTGCTACTTCACTAGATGACACTAACCACTAAATGCTAGATGGAACATACACAATTCTCTGTTATGTTACTGCTAATAATAACACGTTTCAAGCCAAAAGAAGGACATAACAGTAAATTAGATGATATAACACATTATATATTTTGCTGGTGTTCAGAGTGCTTGGCATAAATCAGGACGAAAATATTGATACTTTTAGTACCATTTTAAAAATGGACTAGCGGTGCGTCTGATCTCAAGTAATAAACTCAGGAGAGAAATTTGAAGTTAAATGAGACGTAGAAACTGGATCAAGATTATGTTTGTTTTTTTCTCACTTGGGAAAAGCTTACTTGATATTTGTGCAACTGACTACTGCAAGTTCTTCGAATCTGCTACTCTTTCATTTGGAAAAACTGAAGTACCATTTAAGGCACTTTTTTGATAAAAAAAAATAATTACTACACACTTACATTACATTTTTGAAATAGTAAAGGCTCTCTCTGAACGTACATACCCTGGACAGTAGTTAGTAATTCACAATGTATAATGATGGTAGTTAGGAGAAGAAGGAAGACGATTTGTGCGGAAATAAACAATGATACAATTGTTTGCCTCTCTGTTTATTACCAATACATTCCTGGTCTTCTGCTTTGTTTCTTTTCCAGAACAGTCAATCAAAATGTTCATCCGAGGCCGGCCAATAACCATGTACATCCCCTCCAACATCCAGAACTATGAAGACCTGAAGATGGAGCCCCCCTTTGAGAGACTGGAGTTGGACTGGGTGTATCCTTCGAGAACGTCACAGCAGTGTTCAGCCTCTTCTTTATATTCAGGACAGTTATATTTCAATCCAAATACACTTGTTGGAATTTGGACACTGCTTTATTCAGGCATAACTATTCATATTGCAAAGTTGGTTCAATTCAATTCAATTCATTTTATTTTATATAGCCCAAAATTGCAAATTACGAATTTGCCTCAGAGGGCTTTATAGTCTGTACACATACGACATCCTCTGTCCCGAAACCCACCATCGGCACAGGAAAAACTCACCAAAAAATGAAAAAACCCTTCCAAGCTGCTGCCTTAGTAGATGGCCGGAAAGATTCATTGTGTTTCCGTGGTTTTTTATTTGGCTTCTACATATTCTACAAACAGCGCCTGACTTATTTAGAACACCTCCGTGTTTGCAAAAACCAAAATGATTAATCGATTCAGTGAATGAATCGTTACACCCCTACTTGTAGGGCAATAAGGTGTTACAAGCTCTCCTCACCAGCAAGTGCCTTGTAGGTGAGGAGAAGTACTTTAAAATATATTCTGGATTTAACAGGGAGCCAGTGCAGAGAAGTTAATACAGGAGTGATATGATCCCTTTTCTTAGTTCTTGTTAATACACGTGCTGCAGCATTCTGAATCAACTGGAGAGGCTTAAGAGATTTATAAGAGCAGCCTGATAACAAAGAATTACAGTAATGTAGTCTGGAAGTGACAAATGCATAAACTAATTTTTCTGCATCACTTTGAGACAGTAAGTTCCTGATTTTTGATATGTTACGTAGATGAAAATAGGCAGTCCTTGAAGTCTTCTTTATATAGATAGATAGATAGATAGATAGAGAAACAAAAGAATAACCTTCCAAAAGAGACAATAATAATAATTTGTAAAAGGAGAAGAGAAAGAGGAAGAGCAGCAACATCACAGCAGTACAGGGTTATGTCATTATTTAGCCAGGGAGGATTTATTGTAGTGTTACTGCACTGGGCAGGAATGACCTCCTGTATCGGTCCTTGTGACAGCAGAGCTGAAGGAGTCTGTTGGAGAACGTGCTCCGCTGTCCCTGTAGCAGGTGGTGGAGGGGGTGGTCAGGATTATCCAATATGGATAACAGTTTCTACAGTGACCTCCCCTCCAACACCTTTTACAAGTTGTCCTGTTTGGAGCCAATGATGGAGCCGGCCTTAACAAGTTTGTTAAGTCTGTTGGTGTCACCGGCTCCAATGCTGCTCCCCCAGCAGACCACGGCGAAGTACAAAGCACTGGCCACAACATCCCCTTCCTGTAGACAGCGTTGATGTTGGTCTTCCAGTTCAGTCTGTTGTCGATGGAGACACCCAGGTACTTGTAGTCCTCGACCATGGCCACCTCCTCTCCCAGAACCCTCAGCGGTAGCGGAGCCGTCGTCTTCCTCCCGAAGTCGACCACCATCTCTCTGGTCTCGGCCACGTTCAGGAGCAGGTGATTTCTGCCCGCCGACACCACAAAGTCCTCCACTATCGCCCTGTCCTCCTCCTCCCGTCCATCCCTTATACACCCTACCACTGCAGAGTCATCAGAGAATTTCTGCAGATGGCAGGACTCCGAGTTATACTGAAAGTCAGTGGTATATAAGGTGAACAGGAAGGGAGACAGAACAGTTCCCTGTGGAGCTCCAGTACCACTGACCACTGTATCAGACAGCACGCTGCCCAGTCGGACAAACTGTGGCCTGCCTGTCAGGTAGTCAGTGATCCAGGAGACGGTGGACGAGTCCACCCCCACCACCCGCAGCTTCTCACTCAGCAGCAGTAGTTGGATGGTGTTAAAGGCACTGGAGAAATCAAAGAAGGTTATTCTCACAGAGCCACCCTTTCCATCCAGGTGCGACTGGGCATATTTATATGCTATGATATTTGATATGCGAGTTGAAGGTCATATCCTGGTCGAAGAGAACTCCCAGATTCCTGACGGTGCTGCTGGGTACCAGAGCAATTCCATCCACAAAAACTGTATCATGTGACACCTGGCTTCGAAGGCGCTCTGGGCCTGTCAAGATAACTTCTATTTTTTCTGAGTTTAGCATCAGGAAGGTTGGTTCCTTGGACTCCATTCTGCCGCAGGATAGACCAGGGGCTGTGATGCCGAGCCGAGATGAGGCATATCGCCCCCTTTGGGAGTCCAGAAACTGGTGGTGGTGGTGGTAGAGAATAAGTTGCTCCAATCTCCTGATATGCCAGGTTCTGCTGTAGATTGGAGTTGTCAGGGGTGGTTCGCCTTTGGTGCGTGCTGAAATGACAACTGACCGCAAAAGAGCGGAGAACAGTTTTTAGCGTTTGCCAGCCCTGATACAATTGGTTTACGGTAACGGCACCCACGTCTGGTTGGCTGGTATTACCCGCCCCTAATCAGCTGGCCGTGCGCCCCCAGGAAGAGAGGAGGCCACCAGGGAACGGCACAGCCACAAACCAGTCTTCCTGACTGAATTTTCGCCTGAGCTTCATTTAGAGAATGCTAATATCCCTGTGTGCTCTTTTCTTGCATTGAACTGTCTGTATTGAAAATATCCCTGTAATTGTTCAGTATGTGTTCGGGCACAATAAAAGTTTGTTGTGAAGCTGGAGGAGACATTTCAGGGAGAGGCCGTTCAACCGAAATCAGATGTTGACATTCGGATAGTTGATAATGATCTAGTTTCCATTGTTGGGTGAATTGTTGATGTAATGCACCATGATTGACACAAATGTCTCCTTGACCCTGCCCTACCAGCTATGGTTACCGGGGTCGCGACTGCCGGGACAACCTGTACTTCCTTCCATCGGGCGAGGCAGTGTTCTTCATCGCCTGCGTTGTCGTGCTTTACCACATCAACAACCGCACTCAACGGCACTATGACAAGCACACCGATTGCGTCCGCTGGTTAGTTAAAGAGGTTTTATATTGTATGCATAGAAGGATACAATCAAATTAAACACACTTCTGCATGGAAGAGCTGGTCCAAATGCATTTAGCCTGGTGTAGCCTAAGGGTCTACACCAGGGGTCCCAAACCCATGGGCCATGGACTGGTACCGGTCCACAGGCCACTTTGTACTTGGTAAAACTTTTTCATTTAACTTTTTTTCTGAACATATTGCCCCTATCTGCCACACCTTCAAGACCGGGGCGTGAAATATTTTTTAACATGAATTCGGTCCGTGAGTCAAAAAGGTTGGGGACCCCTGGTCTACACAGCCTGTGTTACCTTGTTTATATCGTCCAAAGCATAAGGGGAAGGAATGCAGTCGGTGGGGAAAGTTCAAACACCAAAATTATTTTTAAGAAATCAGAAAAACTGTATGAATGACTCAGTGAAAATGAGTACCTTTGGTTTTAAACAGCCTATCACTACTTAAGTTGGGTGGCCACATCTTTATTTCAACACAAACCGTTATCTTTCCCCAATCTTACTAAGTAGTTCTGCTGAAATTCTCACCCTTAACCACCTGTCTAAAATTGTCCATATGTGACTGTCCCATGTGATCACCTTATTTTACACCATATCAGTGACATAGAACAACCAAATATTTTTCTCCAACTTTTTTGAAGACCAAAATCAGAGCTAAGAGGAGAGGGACTGTGTTATCTGATGTACAAATAGGAAACCATGTTCTCACACATTTACTATTGCTAGATTTTAATATTTCAGATGCTACAGCTTATTTCACTGCTAACAAAAACATGGGGTCTTTGTTGGATGGAGCTGATTGCAAACTTCCTCCACTGTAACTGAATGGAGCCCTTTGACTTGTGGTAGTATATTGTTTTGGAGAACAGAACCAGAAGATGTCTCGCTGCATGAATACGTTACAGACTGCCTTTTTTAATACAAGTGTCCTCATTATTTTGACATGGTGGATACAATTACATGAATGTAAATGAATGTTACTTGAATAGATTTTTGTCCAAAAGTATTTTATTTATTTGGTTAAATACTGTTCTTCCTGCAGTCTGACGCTCCACCCTGACAAGGTGCGCATGGCGTCTGGCCAGACAGCAGGCGTGGATAAAGACGGCAAGGTAAGTGCTGCTGGGACACCAGTGCTCCGATTGACTACATATACCATGTTCATATTTCTATATACTGTGTTTGTGTTTGCCACATGCCACAACTCAGACATCTCATGTAACCCTAGTAACAGCCCTGCAGGTATACAGTCTTTTTCTCCATTTTATTTTTCAACTGCATATGACCAGTCAGCAACATTCTAAAAGAGCAGTTACATTTATTTTTCTCCAAAGAAAAGTGGTCGCAGTAGCTGTTTAAGACAGATGGAGGTAAATTGTGTGTGTGTCTGCTTCCATTAGCCCCTGCATCCTTGCGTTCACATTTGGGACTCCACCACCCTGGTAACCCTCCAGCAGATCGGCCTGGGAGCCTTCCAGAGGGGAGTTGGATGCGTTGCCTTTTCCTTTGCTGTGAGTAGATTTCTATTCCAGCCGCAGCGAGACCCAGGTCTTTATTTGAAATAGACTATTTCCCCCATTCCCCAGCGAATGCAGCGCCATTACCTTTCCTCATTCATTCAGTTTCTTGGACGGTTCTACGGCACTAAACTTATCAGTACAACAGAACCACACAACTGTTTTGTTTATTAAGCGGCTGATAAAACATGCCACGGAAATGTTGTTTTTATTTTTAGAAATTCATTCTAGTTACTTTTCTCTGCTGGTGGATGTGTTGGGTTTCATGGTGCTGCTTGGGTGGCCACATTTCCAGAGTTGAGTTATTCTGTAATACATTCATTATTAAAAAAGCTCTGCCCAACCTCCCAAAATTTACTTATGTCATTCCTATGGACAGTTGTGTTGGGACGATGTTTTAGCAGATTTTCTGTGATTTTGTTTCGACCCGAGGTGGTGTTCACATAACTTCTCCCTGTCAGGGATTATTGTATTTGATTTTTCTGACACCCCAAGAATACAGCACTATTGATGATAGCTTAAAGTAGATGAACAACTACAGTATTCAGAGTGAGCAGCTGAACGGTGAGTATCACATGACTAGTCAATTAGCAGTATGAAACTTTACATTACACAGAGTTTACAGAGTTTATTCGTTCCCGATGTCATCTCCAGGACTCTGGCGCGTTCTTGTGTGTGATCGACGATTCTAATGAACACATGCTGTCGGTTTGGGACTGCAACAAGGGGACCAGGCACGCAGAGGTCAAGGTGAGGAACTACCAGGAGTGCACTAAGCCAACAGGCCTATGAATAAAGAATGATACCGCTTATTATCTCCAGCTTTATTCAGAAGGAAAACCTTTTTTAACCTTCCTCACAATGAGTTGCATTCATCTTAGTTGACTACTAACACCAATATAATTATATTGGTCAAATGCACAAAATAACACAATTGAGAAAATATGGTGACAGAAAGACAGTGTCACCCAAACTGCATGGGAAGAACATAGAGTAAATACATCTGTAGAGGGTAGACTGGAGGGTGTGAGGTGAGAAATCAAAGGTCTCCCTTGAAAGTAGCCTTACCTCGTCAAAATAAAGCCAACTTTAACCTTAGTTTATATTACTGGTGAAGAAATAAATCAATATGACACATGAAAACCCTTTGCATTTTGAGAATTGCCTGAAATAAAATCACCAACATCTAAAATCAAACCTACGTGAAAGCCCAGTGTGGTTTGCCAAATCGCAAGGTTCAACATCTTTTTTTGATCGTCTGATACTATTGAATCCGACTAACACCACCCAGAAAAGAGCGATAGCCACTCTGAAGCCAAAATGAGTGGATTTGTTAGTGATGAGTACTCAATATTGCTGTTGGAAGTTGGCTCTGTTTTGGCTCGGTTCCGAACTAAATTTAGGTGATGTCCGGGTGGAAAAGGTTCGTTATTTCCTCCTTCCAGACAAGCTATCATGACATGGTACAAATGGATTTATTAAGTTGTCCAGTTTCATATATGTAACAACAATTTGTCCAGCTGTGTCTATGTACGTACAGTATGTGTGCGTAGTGCAGTAGTGGCAATGCATAGGTGGGTGTTGTGTATCATGTCGCATCAGGATTTGAATGGGCTGAACGTCTGTTTTGTGGAATGTATCCAGTGTGGATCAGTGTGGAAAGGCGGCTCAGTGCTGACCGATACTGTATAAACAAACCAGTACATCCAACAGGAACCAGATAATTATACCTCCCCACCCCCACCCTATAGCAGTGGAATAGTCCACATGCCCTTTACGGCTCAGCCATGAATGGAGCTTTTTGTATGGAATTGATGCTTCTGTACAATGAACTAAAGGAGGCTTAAAAACTCGTATCAACCTTTAGTGTACGTGTTACAGCTGATTCAATCAATATGACTGTGAGTCATGTGACAATGTGATGCATAGTGATGGATAATTAATGAATTCATGAATAATAATTAATGCATAATTGTATGGTAATTCCTCTTTCACCACACACTTCATTTGATCCATTGCTAATATAAGAATATTGATGTGCAGGTTTAAATATATGCATCAAGTTTATTAAGTTCTTAATTAATCAATATTTAATATGACAAATGACTCACAGGACTGTGAAATATTAGTCAAATGTAAAGAGTTGATGATAGAGATGACAATTATGACTTGAATGCGACTGACCTCATGGGTCAAAGCTTTTTAGCCTCTTTCATCTCTGTTTTTGTTTTAGGAGGCACAACATTACATCTCCGCCTTTTTCCAGACGTTGTGACATAGACTTGATTCACACAGTTGCCAATAAACATCATCATCATCAACAGCGGGTTTGTGTGCGTGTTGTCTGTCCAGAACACCAACGAGGCAGTGTTCTGCGTGGAGTTTAACTCCAACGACAGCACCAACATCATCACCTGTGGCAAGTCCCACGTCTACTTTTGGACACTGAGTGCGGGACAGTTCACCAAGAAGCAAGGCATCTTTGGGGTGAGACACAGTCCGGTGTACCCGTCCATTTAGTATCCCACATTATTGTAGTAGAGTATGAGTAAGTACTACAAGTTGAAGCTAGTATCTTCCTCAGTTTGTGGCTAAAAAGGGAAGTAAAGAGGACAAAGAGATCAAAAAGAGTGCAAATATTATCAAATGTCAAATAGAAATGTGTAGTAGAGTAAAGCAAATATGTATCAACTGTACTAACAATGGATCAATTATTGTTCTACAAACAATCTTTTTTTCAGAAATACAAGAAGCCCAAGTTCATCCAGTGCTTTGTGTTCAGTCTGACTGGCGACGTTCTGACTGGAGACTCTGAGGGAAACATCCTCACGTGGGGCAAATCAGCTGCAGATGTCAAAACGCTCGGTAAAGGAGCCAAAGGTCAGTACTGTACATCAATATAAACCTTAAGGCGAAATGCCAATATGTAAAAAGCTCATTTAAACTTGGAAGAATCCATAATAATCAGTATTATGCAATTAATGACCATCATTAATAATATTGCCAAAGTAACATTCTTTTGGTACCCATACGTTTTGACAAAGTGGCTTTATTTACCCACAGAGACCTTTCAGATCATGCGACAGACACGAGCCCATGAAGGCAGCGTGTTCACCCTGTGCAGCCTGCAAGGAGGCGCTGTGCTCAGCGGAGGAGGGAAGGACCGCAAGATCATCCGCTGGAGCGCCGACCTGGCACCCGAAAGAGAGTGTGAGGTGAACCTCAGCTGTGTGTGTGTGCATGTGTGTGAGGCGGGTGTTTGAGGGCTCCTGTGAAGTTGCATTTCAATTACGCTTGTTGATTAATGTGATCATTTATCCAGATTCCAGAAAATTATGGAGCGGTCCGTACCATTTCAGATGTGGATGGAGAGGAGCTACTAGTTGGTACAACCCGTAACGCCATCCTGAGAGGCACCTTCTCTGATGGATTTGTGGCCATAGTACAGGTACACCTATAACACTAATAAAACAACACACAGAACACGCAGAAAACACACACAGAAGTTTAAAGCACTGCTCGTGTTTCCTAGAAGCTACAGAGATCACTACACTTCAAAAGGCTGTGGCGAGGATGAACAACATAGAATATGAAAAGCTCAATCTTAATAAAGTTAATACAAGGAATTGTGAACCTTGAGAAAACATTTCACGTAACTAATACATATAAACGATAATTCATAATATTATGCGTTAGTGCTATTTTGGTAATGTAATAAAACATGTGATTCGAGACGTCAAAATGCAAGATTTGAAGTTAAGAGGCTACCCATTAGCTTTCTCCAACGGCTGAAGCTAATACATCTGTGTAAGTGACGGTTACGCCAGAGCTTAACAGTGTGTAACTGAGGGGTGAAGGGTGAAGAGTAGGCACTGCAGGTCCATGTGTATGCACAATACTAGAGCGGTGGGCGCGAACTAGCCAGCTGGGGCAAGCTCACATGCGCCAACAGGCCGGTTATTTCAACAAGCATAGATTACAACACACACAGAGACTTTTTTCTCTTCTCAGGTAACCATTACTCATCTATATCTCTACACTAACAATAGTTGTTTGCTGCTACATTAATGATCTGTGCTATGTTTACTTTGCGAGTGTTTGAGGAAAACCGTCTAAACGTCCATCAATTGTTGAAGAACTGGTAGAGATACCTTTCTTTATCCCCACCTGTGTTTTCTGGTAATATATTACAAAGTACAATGTATTTTACCATATACATTATGGTGGCAGTGATATCTACAATAGCACATTCGCGTATCATCAAGACATTTTCATTTCTACTTTCTACTTCATTTCTAGACATTTCACCATTTCTACATTGTGTGTGTGTGTGTGTGTGTGTGTGTGTGTGTGTGTGTGTGTGTGTATGTGTGTGTGTGTGCGTCTCAGGGTCACATGGATGAGATGTGGGGGCTTGCCACACACCCCTCTCAGAACATCTTCATCACCTGCGGCCATGACAGACAGGTGTGTTTGTGGAAGACAGAGGAACACAAGCTGGACTGGTGCATCACACTGGAGGTAAGAGGACCCATTCATTCTGAGTCCCCTTCAGCTCACTGGTAGAAACGCGTTGATACTTGTGATTTCCGTGCATACACATGTACAGTTAACTGGTCCTGTGTGTCTGACAGGAGTACGGCTTGTGTGCTGACTTCTGCCCCAATGGGTCAGTGGTTTCAGTCGGCCTTAGCACAGGAAGGTAATACAGCATAACAAAGCACTATTACACACAGATGTAATACATCATACATAAACATTCTTTACCAAACGCTTTTCTATATGAAAATCATGTTAAAAATCAATAAATGCAGTATATTTAATAACAGAGACATTTTAAAGGATACTTTTGGGAAGTATGTTAAGTCTCCAGGAGTGAGATGTTCAGACGGTGAGAGCTCAGAGAGCTTTTTAATAATTCTCTGTGGGTCCATCACTATGGATCACATTGTCACATGACATCATATTGATTTAATCAGCTGTAACACGTACACTAAAGGTTGATATCAAAGGACAGAGGACATCTACAGCCTCTGCCATGTGACTAATGCCTCTGTCCGACCAACAGGTGGATGGTTCTTGACCTGCTGACCAGAGAGGTGGTCTCTGAGTCCATTGATGGGAACGAGCAGCTGTCAGTCATGCGATACTCACCAGGTCAGCGCTCTCTATTGTGGAACTGCTCATGAAAGATCATAATCTAGGATTGAAGAGCAGGCCCAGGTTTGATCAGCCTGAACTAACAGTTTGGTGCACTTAATGAAAAGATCTTGTTCACATATATTTTAAATATTTGTTTTCAGTATTTTTCCAAGATGATTCTATTTTCCAATTTTATCATCTCACATTGATTTTTGTAAAACTTGATTTGTATCTACCAACTCACTTAATGACCTGATTCTGAAAATGTTGTGAAAATCCCCCTTAACGCATGAATGGCCTCTTGTGTTCCCAGACGGCAGCTTTTTAGCTGTTGGATCCCATGACAACTTTATCTACATCTACAATGTGACTGAGAGCGGCCGGCGGTATACTCGCTTTGGGAAATGTAACGTGAGTTTATTTTTAAATCCTTAAATGTTCCCTGGGATTTTCCCATAATCCAGTCGGACCTCCTGTGAGTGCTTTTTGTTGTGTTCAGCAGTGGTGTATATCCCTGTTTGTGCTAACCACTCAGTTCTTCTTCAACAAAGAAAAGTATGTCACCAGATTTAAGTTGTAAGTCAGTTGAGTCTCTTTTTTCCCTTGCTGATAACGTTGTCCTCTTTGCCTCAAAGCTCCAATAGAAACAGATCAATTAACAGACACAATGTTGTTGGTTTTATTCCCATATCTGAAAAGAATATTCATTGGAATTGTGTGTTTTTATGCAAATAGATGAATGAAACAAAGCACACTGACATGACACTGACTTCAGATTAAATTGATTGATTCAAATCCTCTCCAGGACATTGGGGAATAGAAATAGTCTATATTGGAATTTATCTGGTGATATGACAAAACAAAACAGATCGAAATCAGCCAATACAGAAAAAGATGATCGGCAATCCATGTCGGCAACAACACATTATGATGGGGAATCTCTGAAGGTTACTTTTGCTTCTGGAAAAAATCAGACACAAGTGAGGACATTTATTAATCCATTATCAATAGCAGCCAAACCCTTCACAAAATCTCTGAGAAGGTATGCACTTATTGTTGTTGGAAAGTATAGATTAACACCTTTTTTATCCTCTCACATTGATTTCACAGTTGGTTCATCGAACATCATGTGACACTGCCTTTGCTTATCTATCCAATCAGGGCCACTCCAGCTTCATAACTCACCTGGATTGGTCCAAAGATGGAAAGTACATCATGTCCAATTCAGGCGACTATGAGATCCTTTACTGTAAGTAACAAGTATCATTTAGTAAGTGAATCCTCAGGCAGCCTGACAATCTACTGTTGTGACTGTGAATCTTCTCCTCACAGGGGACGTAGCAGCAGGGTGTAAACTGCTGAGGAATCGCTTTGAGAGTAAAGACAGGGAATGGGCCTCTTATACGTGTGTGCTGGGCTTCCATGTCATGGGTGAGAAACTCAAGCGCTCCATCTTCACGTTGGAGTTATTGCATCCTGTCGCACTGCTGACCTGTGCTGCTGTGGTGTTCCAGGTGTGTGGTTGGAGGGCTCTGATGGCACGGACATCAATGCGCTGTGTCGCTCCCACAGTGAAAGGATGGTGGCCGTGGCTGACGACTTCTGTAAAGTCCACCTCTTCCAGTACCCCTGTCCCAAACCCAAGGTACACCTCACTTGGTGAATAGGTCGGCTGTTCCTTCTACGTTGGATATGTATCGTTCTGTAACTTAACATCCAGAGGAGGCACTTGTTTTGCACCACATGATGACAGTTATATCTGGCAGCCTTTTTTTCTCTGACACCATCAGTAAATTGTGAGTACTGACTCCTTGATGCAGGATAATTTAAGTAATAATGTAGGGGTGCTTTGTGTAACTTTCAGAAAACCAGTGTTATTACTGGCACTGGTGGCTGTTAACTGAACTGTAGTGAGCGTTACTCGCATTCCAAAAAGGCCAGCGAGCCTCCTGCATTTAACAAAACAGTAACGTGGCTTTACGTTGCAGTCGTATATCATATTTGGGATAGGGTTACTATCTGAAATGATGCTATGTTTCATTTCGACCACGGGCTCCAATTACTTTAATAGCTAACGCTTATAAAAAATAAATACCAGATCCATGTTGAGCGGCTACGGTACAGTTAGCTAGGTGACTTAAGCGTAGCTTACAAGTAGCTCGTTGCGTACCTTAAATTGGTCTTGGCTTGTAAAAAAGCACGTGCGTAGGGGAAGTGAAGAGTAGTGAGGAGCTCTGCAGCGTGCACAAACGTCCCGTGCTGTGGATTTCTATTTCTTTCTTTTCTTTTGGGGATTGTCTTCCTTCTCATTGAAATTGGTTTATGGGCCGCTTTAGGCAACCAAGAAAGTCCGAAAAATATTTTTAATGATTTTAATAACGTTATAATCTAAACTGAATAGTTACATTCAGCATGACTTTCTATGGCACACATTTGACAAACAAGAGCTAAAGTAAACACAAAGGTGTGTCCTCACTGATTCCCCCCCCCCCCTTCCTGAAGATTACTGCGTGTTCATACAGAGTGGCCTCTCATTCCCTCTCTAGGCGCCGAGCCACAAGTACGAGGGCCACGGCAGCCACGTCACCAACGTCTGCTTCACCCACAGCGACTCCCACCTCCTCTCCATGGGCGGGAAGGACACCTGCATCCTCCAGTGGAGGGTGATCAGAGGCGGGCCTGGCGACAGCAGGGAGAAGCTGGCCTCCACCTCCACCAGCTCCCCGGAGCCCGCCACCAGCTAGGAGGGACATTGCGTTATAAACAGAGAGGGGCGGGGGGAGGCGCGTCAGACGGTAGACGGCAGCCACAGTTATGGGCTTTGCGGTGCCACTGCTGCCATAGTTTCATACTGATTGTGTAGAGGGATCATCTCCGGGAGGCAGGTCCACATTAGATTTACTTGTAGTCATGTGAAAGTGGACTGTGGGATTCCTCCATCGCTCTGATGACACGTGGTGAGGTCATGTGGTGTAGTTATCTGTGACAAGACCTCTATGGTGACAGGCTTTGGTTTCAGTGAACATTCCTGTGTTTTAGTCCACCTCGTTTACCAAACTTACCAAAGTGCTGCATCGCAGCCTTTAAAGATGTGTACATAATGTTTTTACTACTCTTTGTTTGGTTGACATCTCAGCTGACAGTGAACTGTTTTTTTTCATGCTTGCATCAGACAAACTGTGACAAACATTTTCCAATGAAATCATTTATTAGCATCTCTGACTAATTAATTCTTCCAACAGCAGATTAATACACTTGATAATGATTACTTTAGTCTATTTTTATGTTTGTAAGACGACATTTGGGAATGCAATCAATAAATAACGGAAAAGTGTATTGAGTGTGAATTGCCACTAGGGGGCAGTGCTACTTCAGGTATGTGTTCTGATCCCGAGCACTGAGCCAACGAGGAGAGAGGACACAAGGATCTGGATCGCCCAACTACGTTCAACCAGTGAAACTCGCTACAAATTTAGCCTGTAAAAGGAGAAGATAACCGAGTGAGTAAAAGGTTTCTGACCTCAGGAGGACTTCATTGTTATGACAGAGGTAATGTAGTAAAACTGCAAATATTTGTAAGACGACACTCTGTTAGAACCGAGAAAATATTGCCATAAGTCAAAAACATAAAATCAATGTTAATGAATGAAACAAAAGTACTCAACATGCAGTGACCAGTTCTAGTTTAATGTGTATTATACTATATTGTTATTACTGATACATTAACACAGAAGCTCATTTTATAAAATGTCTCTGGTAGAGGTTTGTTCAGGTGTATATTTAGGATCTGAAAAGATGTTGAACTTTTGCTAAAATTAAATTTGCTAGAAGCTATTTAAAAATTAAAACATTAACTACATTGAGATGCTATTTACGATTTAAAAAATCTCTTTATATATGAGTAGGTATTCATTTTGGATGTTTGGATGTTTTTTTAAAGAATTTAGTGACGATAATTTATTTGTTTATTAAGTTTTATATATACAAATAGAAAATGCCCACCAATCGTGGTGTTGGTGCTCATACGCTAAATAACAACATTACTCACTGTCCTTACTTGTCATAAACCTACATCTCCTGTTAAGTGAAAGTGTCACAGTTTTGTTCTTGATGTGTACGCCGTTTTGCCTCAGCAGGACTTAATAACACATTTTTATGCTTTTGATTCAATGCTTTGATTTGGATTAGTTTGAGTATTTTAGTCGGTTAAGCTTAAAGTTCATTCTTCCTTCCCGTAGTTCATTTTTCTATATGAAATTGAAGGGGCTTATAAAGGGAAACATCCCGCACTTCAAGTCCAATTGTGAGAGACACACTTTTGGAAATTCTCTATCTTTTGCCAGAAGGAAAGCTAAAGAGGGTTACCTCTGGCAAAACACTTGTCACCAAATCTGTGAATGACTTCAGTCAGCTTTATTTAGACGGCTTGTAGACGAAATAGGAATGCTGAGTTGACTGACCAATTATGGAGTTCTGGCTTTCCTTTATTCATATTTAAATGGACTGTACTTTTAGTCTTCCGACCACTCAAAGCGTTTTAACACTACATGACATCATTCACCCGTTCACACATGACAGGAGCTACCTTACACAGTGCCACCTGCCCATCAGTAAATAACATTCACACACTGTAGCTACAGGAGCAATGTCGGGGTTAAGTGTCTTGCCACCAACCCCCTGATTGGAGGACGTCTGTGGTCCCCTCTCACCCACCGTCTTGTCAAAGGTTATTATTCTATAAGTCATGTTGTTAAATTGTTGATTTACTTTGGAAATGTCCACTAACTTCACCGTAGGACTTTGCCTGCATGAGAAATGACCCTCTCAAAGATGGGAAGTCCCCATCCCCATCGCACTCTGAGAATCAGGTTGCATGAATTTGTTTAATAGTTATTCATATGGAGGAAGTGCACAATTTACCGTTGTCAACGTGAATGGGAATAATTATTGAGTTCCCTTTTTCACAATTTCAATATTTTATTTTTGCAAACTGCTGATATATTTCTAATGGGTTGTATTTAGTAAACAAACAGGGTTGATATGTATTGCCATGAGCTTTGTATCTTTGAGACTTGTGTTATATGGTCGGATATTAAATGGAAATTGCGGCTAAAACAGTCATGAAATTGATCAAAATAGTGCTAGTGCGATACTAAGCCACAGTCATGTGAGACAAAGTGAAGTCATTTGATTTCCTACATCAAAATGATGAGACAACAACTCCAACCTATACTAAAACTGTCAGTGAATGTTGTTATTTTCTGTATGGAACAAACCAGTTGACAAAACAGAAATGGTAATATTTAGCCAAACTTAACAGTAGAACATAAATCGGTTCAACATTGATTACAGGGGCTCGGGCTTATCACTTACAACACACGACCTACGAACCATCAAAGACATCAGACTAATCCGCTATAATCGCACACTTTCAATAATAATTGTAAAACTGACTTGAGTGTTAAAGACAACATTGTGAAACCCTCGGAGATAATTTTGATGTAGTCAGATTACAGATGGGAAAATGTTTGGACTATGCCCCTTTTTTGGCTGACTAAAGTAACGAATGTTTAATTTCACTTCATAGTTTTAGATCAACAAGTAATTACTGTTTCTAATTTTCTTGTCTTGTTTTTCAATTTAAAAATATATATAATCTGAGCCATTATACCCCAACATTTCCTCCAGTTGTTTCCCTCAGTAAAGACCTGCATACTTAAATAGGCTCGTGCTAAAACTCCCCCAGTGACCATATGAAACCTGTATTTCCGTACATTCCCAACTTCCTGCTATGAATAAGTTAGTTCTAGCACCAACATTGCTTTCTTTCCTCTTAGATCATGTGTGTCATGTGTGCAGACGTAAATGTAAAAATGTGTCTCTTAGTTAAACAACGTTATGATCTCAAAAAGTGTGTGTGGCGTTTTACACACTTAGTTATGCACGTGGGTTTATAGTTCATACTTTAAATAGGTTATGTCTTAAACCAAGGCCAGTGAAGAAGTTAATTGTGACATGCCGGAGATTGTCGACATTATCCGAAGATGACGATTAGCGCACGAGCGAAGGGGGGCAGTGAGAGTGTGTGTGTGTGTGTGTGTGTGTGTGTGTGAGCGTGTGTGTGAGTGTGTTGAACTGAGCGGAGGTGAAGAAGAGGAGGATGAAGCTGGGAGCGGAGGATGGGAGGAAGAGTGGAGTAAGAGACAGGCTAGCCGTGTGTGAATGAGTGAGTGAGTGAGGAAGAGGAGAGGAAGGTCGTCGGAGGGACCGAAAACAAAGACTTGAACATTTTGGGGATAACCTCCGGAACATTACCAACGGAAACTTTCAACTTTTACCCGCCACATCTCGGCTTGTTGTGTCCGGAGCCGGCTTTGTTTCGTGGCGGGGGTATCTGCGATAAATGAAGGAATAAAATAGATCCCCATCGACCTTTTTCTACCCAGTCGGGGAATACCCCGGGACTACTTTTGATAAAGGTTAAAAGAGAATGGCGGCCAACATGTACCGAGTGGGAGGTAAGGAATGTTATACATTTTTAAGACACCCCCCCTCCAACAACGTGATTGTTCGTTTCGACAGCAAGGTGGCTAGCTAGCCTCTAGCTGTCTGAGCGGTTAGCCGCTAACTAACGCTAGCGCCCGTCTAGTGTCTGTGCGTGGGTCCGGTCTTGCATGGACGAACGTCAAATCTATTAAAAACCTCAAACAATGTAGTTAATGTGGCTTAGTTAATGAGCAAATGTAAATCCTTCTAACCATGTGACCTAACGTTAGTTTATACCCGGTTCAATCCAGCAGTATGTGCGTTAACGTTCGGCACCGATATAATACACAGCAGTGTTTGATTTTTTGGAAAATATCAACTTTTCAAAAAGATTGGCGTGATATCCCGACTAGTGTCCACCAGAATACATTACCCGACGGCGGGCAGCTTCTAGGCAGCATGAACCGATTGTGAAAGTTGGTGTTTAATTTGAAATAAACGCGTCCTGGTTGATACTTGAGTTTGCGGAATAGTATTTATTTCTGTAAGTAAGCAAATCGTCCGTCATATCGCGTATTTTGGATCATACGTCTTTGGTTTTACAAACGGTAACGTCTCGAGAGCGAACACGATGCTAGCTAGCATAAACTGCTAAGTCAATGTTAGCTTTCGAGAAGTTAGCGTCCAGCCGAATACACCGACGTCGGGGGAAGCTAGCTAAAGCCTCCTAGCTTTGTCCGTGAGTGGGTTAATTTCATTATTGCCTCCGCCATATCAATTCGTATGCAAAGTATAGCGGTAGCCGTGCTAGCTACATGCCATTAGCTTAGCGCGCTGTACTGTATGAGGTTGCATTTGAGTGAATGCTTGGCTCCTAAAATGCGAAGATAACGTTAAGCGATACGTTTATTGAGAGTAACTTCTTTGTCTGATGGCACCAATCGGTAGCCACAGTGAATCACCGGGCAAGTTAGGCTAACTTAAGGTTATCTGCTAATGACTTGCTACCGGCGGAACAATGTCTGTGCCGCTGAGGCTGCCTGTGCCATTATGCACCGCTACTTCGCCGCTGGTTGTAAACCGTAGCTTCTCATCAAAATGAAAGTAGGCTATAAAACGTTATATAATGTTTCACAGCGTCCCATGTAGTGTTTATTGCATTATTTCGGTTTCAACCCTACTCGCTTTTTAAATATCGTGACCCCAAATGTCACAATTTAGTGGAGAGAAACAAACCATCGGTACAAACTAGTTTGCAGCGATATTAATAGCCTCCACTATTTCCGCCTCGATCCTTCGACATTGATATAAAGCTACTTTGCATGATTCTCTAAATATGGTGGCACTGTGTCTGGACCCTCAGCGGATGGAAAGCGCATCTCTTGCCCCCTTGTAGTTGCAGACTAGACTGGGTTTATACTGGACTTTGAGTATCAGGGGAAGTTAGTTATTTAGACTTTTTCTTCCTCCTTCCACACATTGTTATCGAAGCATTTAAATCAGTCAGAATTAGTTCATATCAATGAATCCAGGGGATTTCCAGGTGTTGCAGCTGACTGGTACCGACAGTTCTGTATATTACAAGTCCTCTTGAAGCACGCTGTGCTCGACCCGTATGTAAGATCGTTATCTTCCTCAGATATCAGTCAAAGGGCTTTCTCCTCTTCATTCACCCTCAAGCACCCAGCGTACTGCGCCACTCCAGCCCAATATGTCCACAACAAACACTCAGGGCTGCCTTTTTTGGATAATTTCCCCAACATTGTAAAAAAACCATAAACCACCAGCTCGTCCCTTACGTCAGTGGTTCCCAACCACCGGGCCGTCGCCGGGCCACAGGCCACTTGGTACCGGAGAGATTTTTTAAATTTGACTTTTTTTCCCCTGAAAAATATTTTGTTTTGAAATATGACCGTATTCACTGCTAATTGCATGCACTGGTCCCTCTTGACACATTTCTCAACACGTCACCCAAGTGTTTTTTGGCTGCGCAGCCACTACTCCATAAAAGTGACTCCTAGCATTCATCATCTTTAGAGTTAGAATCAGTGATGCCAGGGACACAAGAGTGTAGACCCCCTTTTTGTGCATTAGTGGGTGTTATGTAATTTGGTGCCGTTGTCTTCCTGCTGCAAACAAGGAGGTGATGCTTTTCTGGTCAGGCTCCTCATCAGTGTGCTAAGTAGAGCAATAAATCCTCTCCTGTCTGAATTCTTCCTTCTCTATCTCTGGCAGTGATGATGCATCAGAAACCCACTGGTATCCTCCCGAGGCTCTGTGTCCCTGCTTGTGGGAGGACCAGATGGAGCTTGACATGAAGCCACACGACTGTGCAGAACTGCATCAAGCACTGCAGGAGGCACTGTGTTTGGTAGTTGTATGATAAATGGATGTTAGTCTTGATCCATATTTTAAAGACCGACATCTCTCAGTTGAAGCTGTTAGCAACTGTGAACAGTCTGCATCTTGAGCCCCTATTTATCATTAAATCTGAACATACAAAAACAATAATTATCCAGTGAGTCCAAAAAACACCTTTAAATTACAACCAATAACAGTTTGTAATAAGTAGGTTTTTTTCCGGCACGCGGCATAATATATTGTTCACTGCAGTGGTCGGAGCTACTTGTATTGAAATGGAGTCATGGTTATAGCTTTTATAACAACAATTAAAAACCCACAAATGAGCTCTTTAACAGGGTAAAACAGCACAGCAAAGTTTGACCAAACAAATTGTTACACTAGTAAAGGCACAAATATAAAATTACAACTGCATGCTTTGTACAGCTCAACCGCTGTCACAACAAGGAGCCGTGAACAGCTGATCAGGTGGCTGGCAGCTTTTTCGGAATTGATAAATTAATGGGTTTACCCGAGAAAAAAAATACTGTGATACTGCCAGAATCGTACAAAATACCGGGATATGGATTTGTGGCCATACTCCCCAGCCATATGTTAAAAAACAGTTAAAAGGAACGCAGTTAGCAACTTGATGTCCTGTAAGCGGGAGTCTTATAGCGTTAAGCGATACGTTTATTGAGAGTAACTTCTTTGTCTGATGGCACCAATCGGTAGCCACAGTGAATCACCGGGCAAGTTAGGCTAACTTAAGGTTATCTGCTAATGACTTGCTACCGGCGGAACAATGTCTGTGCCGTTGAGGCTGCCTGTGCCATTATGCACAGCGGGAGTCAGCTTTCGCAAGGTGGAACCACCTTGCGTATGTCCGCTTTGTGTTTTGTTCTTAAAACCTGCAGAAACGTGTCATGGGCGTAGATCACTAATTGACCTGTTTCCAATGTAGATCAGTCCTTTCAACAATTAATTATTAACATCCCCACTTTTCTTTTATGCCATCTCTCTTAGCCCTAGTTAAATTCCTTGTTCGTCCATCTTGCTGAACAATTTTTAGAGAACAGTTTACCCAATGATTTGCAAACGAGAAAGGCGGAGCTAGTGTTCACTAAACATGAATTCAAGTGACACTTGTATGGGCTCTACTTAGGTTTTTGCAGAGGAAGGGCTTGTCTATGGCTTTTGGACAGACCGCTCGAGTCAGCAGGAAGAAGTGGAGTGAGTCAGCTTTTTGTGCCGATGTCATGTGATCAGAGCTTCTGCTGTTCAAAATCCAATACCCACATGTGAAAGGGATGCTGCTAACAGGTTCCTCACTCAGTGGATTGTCTGTGTGGCGACCCAGGCTGCCCAACCCATTCTGTCCTCTGCCCAGCAGGTTTACCTCAGTGGTGTGATAACTGGCTTCACTGGGTGTTTGATAACATTTCAGTTTAGCGGGATATGCCTTGTTGCCACACCAACCGGCTTCCAGGTGTTCTCTCTCCTTTTGCCATGTCTCTTATACACCTGCATTGTAAAGTGCAGGGACCTTCTACTAACAGAGCTACTCTATTCTGAGTTTCACTTTCCCTTCTGTCTTAATTACGTGGTCGTTGCTGTGATATTAGGACTCCAGACCGTCATGCTTGGATTTGATCCAGCTAGGCTGTTGTGGCAATGTTCATATAGGACTTTTGCGTGATTTCTGTTTTTAATGCACATTGCACTTGATCTCCCCCTCTCTCGTAAGAACTGCGTTGTTGAAGTGTGTGTGTGTGTGTGTGTGTGTGTGTGTGTGTGTGTGTGTGTGTGTGTGTGTGTGTGTGTGAGAGAGTGGGGTTACTTGTGGTGACCAGAATGGGCTGTGGATTCAATGGAGGAGGATGAGGCCAGCACACATTCATACATACATACAGCGGTAAATTAATAAAGACCAAACACTTGTTTCTCAAAGCTGTTAAACTGGAAAAACCAGATTGACTAGTTTGCAGGTAGGATTTTGCTTATTCTTTGCAACACGTGAACACTGGCCAAGTGAAATCCAGTACCATTAACACTATACCGTAATCCCAGTTTAACCGAACCCCTTAATGACTAATTCAATTTATAAATAATAACGCTGTGGGATTCCGTTCATCTGATCACATGCAGGAAGAAAGGCAGAAAACAGTGACTTATTGGAACCTTATTTTTATCAGTAGCCCGTTGACACTACTGCCGAGTTACATCAGCTTGTGACCCTCTTTTTTTTTTTTTTACTAACCTGTAGTACGGGTGTTATGTTTCTCATTGAAGTAGAGTACCTTCATTCTTTGCTGGACCGAAAGGTAAATTCACACTGATTATTTAACCAAAAGGTTTTTCCCCGGATCGATGAGATCAGGGACATTATCAACCCTTAAGTTCAAGGTCATATCTGTGTGTGCATGTGCACGTGTGAGAGAGTGTGATAAAGATGAAGAATGAAATCAACATGGCTCTATCTGAATCTGACCTATTTTTGGTTTGTAGTCTGTCCGCCTGGTGCTCTCTGTCTGCTGGTGTGAGCGCCACACACGTGCACGCGTATATGTGCATAAGCGTGCACGTGTTGTAGCGGAACTGTGGTGGGCAAAGGACTTTTTTTTTAAATGCCAGACTTTTTAGGCGCTGCCCCCCCCCCCCCCACTCCTCTTGATGGTAGGGGAAACACTGACTGCCCTGCCCAGTAAGCATCAGCACACCGCACTAAACTCACATCTCAACCTACACTAGTCTCATGTCGTGTTTAGAACTAGGTTTTCAAAGAGGCTGAAAATTTACTGTAAATTTTCGTAAATCTTACAGAAACTTTCCATGGAAAGTTAATCTTTTTTTTTTTTTTTTTTTACAAAAGCATATGACAAGGAACTTTAAAGGTAAGTCTCAATTTGTGGCTCTTGATGCAGCCACCTCAGAGACAATGGTTGGCTCACCAATCAGAGAACATAACGTATCAACACCGTAGTCCTGTGCCACCAACAGTATCACCACCGTCCTCTTTGAGTGCCCTTCTGGTTAACAGTGCAATTCACATAGAGCTGGTCCGCAGTCTGGACGGACCACTTTCCACCAGTCCACTCACTGAGCTGACAGGATCCAGTTCACCTAACAGCTTCTCAGTCTTGTACGGACAGGCCTGCAATTAGAATGGTGTGTGTCACTTGAACGCGTTCCTATCCATAAGATTGCCTAAACTCTGCTCTGTTGTGCCAGTCTAGCCTACGCCTGGGCGCTATGGCCTATCGTATTTTGAATGATTCAGGGTATTGATTTTCACGAACACTTTCATTCATTCATTCATTCATTCATTCATTGACGCGAAAACCAAGTTAGCTTGTTAGCGTGTTTGCAAAAAATCATTTTTTCCAACAAAATCTCCAAACCCCGGCACAGCTCCTGTCTTGGGGACAAGTTGGGTTGTGTGTGGTGCATATCTGGTCTGCATCACTGTTTCCCATTTTTTAATATATCGACAGTTTCTCCTCATTGTGATAGTGGGCCAGCTGTACCCAGCAGCATTGTTTGTCGTGGGGTTTTACCCTGTTAAAGAGCGTTAGTTGTAACGTAATGACTCAATCTCAAGGTCAAGTTAGTAGAGCTGTGCCCGGGTGTAAACAAAACATTTTGCTGCCTGCCGAATAGCGTCAAAAGTTGTTACACCAATGCACCGGTATGTGTGAAAAATTGCGGTCGGGCAAATGGTTCGGCGGACGGGGGGTAGTTTGTAGTCTGTCCCCTTGTACTCGCTGTGAGCACCACGTACTTACGCGTCGGGCGGAACTGCCCACGCGGGGAAGAAAAACAAAAACTTTCTGCATACACACACATACATAACATCAATAGACTAAACAACATTTTGAAATTCATTAATTGCAGTTTTTTTTCTTCTAAAGACTGAATCAACGAGTAATCACTTCAGAAAGTGTGTATTTTAATCACTGTTTTAATTATATATATTTTTAACCCCAAACTACACAGACCGGGTGCAACATATTGAACTAGCGACTCTTCCTGCTGTCCTCGTGCTCTTTGCTCTCAACTCTCCATCATTTGACTGCTGTGTTTGTTAGCCATGACATTTCCAAACCACTGTCTTTTAGGGACACGGGGGTGGTCCTCTGCAGACTGTGTGCCACGGAGGGTAGATGTTGAGCTGGAAGTAGCCTAGCAGCTAGCTTAGCCCAGCAGCTAGCTTAGCCCAGCAGCTAGCTTAGCCTAGCAGTGTGTTAAGTGGTCCGTTTGCCACTCACCCCCCTTCTGTTTGACACATGGAAGAATACCTCTGCACAGTTCTCTGCTGTACGGTGCACCTCAGTTTGTTTTACCTCCAATGCCAATACCTCCATCTTCAGCTACTGTCTCGGTCTCTCCTGACTGCAGCGAGCAGCGGTTTCATTTCCGGGGGTCAACGTACACCGGGAGTAAACAAATTTGCGTTAACTATAAATATTTTATTGCATAAACCACTCCCACAATAATCAATTGGCGCGTTCATTTTGACATGTATACCACCCTGGTACAGCCACAGAGCTGTGTTGTTGTCTGTCCAGAAGAGACCTGAACCATCAGCGGACAAATACACAAAGAGTGTTTCTTTTATTTATTTGAATATTACTTGTGAACATGAATCTAATCGTTTTCTGTTTCTTTCAGATTATGTTTACTTTGAGAACTCCTCGAGCAACCCGTACCTGATCCGTAGAATAGAAGAGCTCAACAAGGTTGGTTGTTTCTCTATATTTCCATTTTATCACTCTCTCTATCATCTCACAGCTCCATAACTGAATGGAGCTTTTGCTATAATTATATTATGTTAATAAGTGAAGTTAATTGGGCCATTATCAAAGGGTAATTCTAAATCCAAACAGGGCACATCAGCAAGCAGCTGTCACACATAGGTATAAGTGGGGAGGGGTAACCCGAGCCGGACTCAATGCGTCTCTCTGTCTCGCTCCCAGCAAGATGCCCTCTCAGATACGGAACTTTGTCACCGATTGATAATAACATGAATCAGTACTCCATATTACCACGAAATTGGATCGATACCAGAGCCTGTAAAATACCTGGTAGTGTTGGCCTATTATACTCTGATCAGGCTGTGTGTCGTCTTTTAGCTCGTATTGCAGAGTTTAGACACCGAACCTTCTGATTAACCGGACGGTCTGTTCATTCTTTTTTAACGACACCTCAGGGATCATTCCAGTCACCATACTGTCCACACAATAACCCATACACACTGTATCCCTGGTCCATCCTGGATTCTGCTCATGCTGTGCGGTGGTTACTGTAATCACAGCACACCGGTATAGGAGCTTTGTATAACAACAGCATCAACAGCAGCATATGACACAGGCTTGTTTCCCAGTCAAAGGATTAAGCTCATTTATGTAACACTCTTACATTGAAGGGCTTTTGCTGAGCAGCAGGAGGACGGCATGGTCCTGTGTGCTAATGGCTGCTGAGCACAATGAATGATGGTCAGAGTGTTCAGCTCTGCAGCTCCTGGCTGGAACATGTTGGCTCGCGCGGTGTGTTTGTGCGGATGCTTTCTTTGCTCCTATGATCAAGGTCAATCCACGGTAAAAGCAAGTACCTGAAGTGGTGCTACAGGAGGCGGACATATCATAATCTTCAGGATGATACCAACACACATCTTCAAATCCGCCATAGCGGAACTGTGAAGGAATTGGCCTGATTGAAAGGGAACATTTTTGACGTTGCCCTTCAGAGAACAGAGCAGAGGGGCAACACGCACGCATCTACTGGCTGGACTCGCATGTGTGAATAAAGTGCTGTCGCACAGGCAGAAGAGAGCAGACACTCTTATAGCAGGCTAAAGTCAGATGGATAACCACCAGCTGGTCATTCACCACGGTCTCCATCAAGTTCACCATTCACCTGCTGGGATGATTTTCTTGTTTCTCCTCCTTTTGAAAAAATGATTGTTTAATCATTCATGATGTAAAAAACAAAAGGATCTTAGACATAACAAACTGCCCGTAGTCCTGAATAAATTATAAAGAATTACACAATTAGCATTCAGCTCAGTACAAAAATATATCTTTCTTGAACTATACACACAGCGATGGAATGAGTGCTTTCAATGACACTAGGAAGTCCGTCATAGTGTTGCTACCACCCTCCCCTCTTTCCCCACTGTAGCTATGGTTTGCTTGTATGGCGTTATATTTGTGCCACAATCCTGAGCGTGTAATTTTAAGTTTTGAGCACAGAGAACTATATTTTAGCAAAGAAAAACATTCCGTGCGTGCAGTTTACTCAGGTGCCCTCTCCACAAACTGGTTTTCTGCGCGCAGGCAGCCGTTGCTGCGCTCTCTCCACCTCTTCACTCTGCGCTCGCTCGACTTGCAGCAGCGTTACATTTGTGCCACAAAACCAACCAGAGAATTAAAGAAGGTCCATTGTGATTGGCTTTTGGTCTCCAATCACAACGCTAGTAGAACTACCTTACAGCATCGCGGAAGCTCAGCGAGTTGTTGAAGTTTGCAGCATTTGTGCTAAATGCTAATGGCCTGGATTAAAACACTTGCTGTTCTCATCATTTGCTTCGGTCATGTCTGATGGTGGCTAGCCGAACTTCTAATATCACTTTTTTTCGTCTTCTTTAGGACGCGTTGTGATTGGAGACCAACAGCCAATCACAATTGACCTTCTTTAATTCTCTGATTAGTTGGTTTTGTGGCACAAATGTAACGCTGATGCAAGTCGAGCGAGCGCGTGAGTGAAACGTCGAGCGAGCGCAGAGGTGGAGAGAGCGCCGCAACGGCTGCCTGCGCGCAGAAAACCAGTTTGTGGAGAGGGCACCTTAGTAAACTGCGCGCACGGAATGTTTTTCTTTGCTAAAATATAGTTCTCTGTGCTCAAAACTTAAAATTACGCGCTCAGGATTGTGGCACAAATATAACGCCATATGCTTGTAGAGTATCTGTGTCTCCTTAACAAGGCTACGCCTAATGTTTTATCTCGTTAGCAAAGTGTGCTAAAAAGTGTCAATCCACTTTGTGATTTGCTTTAACCTTTCTGGGTCGGGCAGAAGAACAACAAGTTAAATGCTTCATACGCTAGCTTTTAAACGATCATATTCAGCTGCTGAAGCTCACCAAAAGTCACCCTAGTATTTGCACTAGCTAGAACGTAAACAAAACAGCCTGGTGTTAGAGAATAAGCATTTTAGCTCTAGATATGACGTGCACCTGTGCTTACAATCAAAGAGTTTTCTGTCCGCTTTACTGATAAGCCAAGAATTACACTGTTGAATGAAATGTAAATGTTGCGTAGCCCTGGTTCGTACCTCTGACTAATGACTCCTCAACGAGCCGCTCTAACTGAGGTACCTATACCGGGGCTTTGTAACAAGCCAGCTTGTAACTGCTGACTCTCCACTTCCAGACCGCCAATGGGAACGTGGAGGCGAAGGTGGTGTGTCTGTTCAGGAGGCGGGACATCTCAGGAAACCTCAACACCCTTGCTGACAGCAACGCAAGTGAGTACGAAACCCAAAGCTCCCCTCGGCTCCCTCCTTGTGTCCTCCTGTGTGTCAGCAGGTGCCATGTTGCTCGCTGTCTTTAATCAACCTCTTCTACATTGTGTTCCACATTAAAAAGTCCCAACGCACGTCTCCAGCCTTTATGCTGTAAACTGGACCACTACCTGTGTCTGGTGTTAAAGAGAGAACATCAGTGTTGCATTAGGCTCCAGCTTGTTCATTTATATATATATGTACTAAATCGTAGTTATAATTTTGTTAGTAAATGAATATGCATTGGAATGGGGCTATTTTAAAGTAATTGGGGCTACTGATAGATCTTGAATTCAAATTCTTTAATTGATGTTCATCGACTCTGAGAACAGTTAGACTCAAACTGTCAGCCTTCAAACATGAGGTGACAAATCGCTTAACCGCTCTGGTCCAGTTTAGTCCTGATGACGTTACTACACACTAGCTCACTGGGGCTGTATTCAGAGGCTGTTTTGTCTGTTGCCATCATGTCCTACAGCGTACGGTGCAGCTAGTTCTTTATACATCCATGATCCCATTTGCATTCTATTATGGTTTAATTAATCATAATGTATCAATAATTGAGGCTTATAATTTCAATAGTTTTCAATCATTAGCTAGTCATTTATCTGCAGCGTTCCTTTCAATGTGTTGAGCATATTTAATCAATAATTCGATTTTTATATTAAATATAAAAAATATTATGTTTTATTTCAGTAGTACCTTCTCAGCATGTGCGGCCCCCCTATCCAGCCTATGAGCCCCTCTCTGTTTGTGTGTGATCAGGGCCAAGGAGGTGGTGGGGTGGAGGTGTTGCTAATGGCATGCAGGCTACTGAAGCCTGATCACACTCACTCATTACCCCCCCGACACCAACAGCAGCTCCCCCTCCTTGCTCTCGGGCCACAGTGCTCCAGACAAAGACATCTGCGCACACACACAAACACACACATACACACCTCAAAAGGATGCGATAATGCTCTGTTTTTTTATTATGCTCTGCAACGCTAAGAGATGTAGGGTTTGTTCACTGGTTATGTGGACAAGTGTGAAAGAATACAAAGATAGTCATGTCCCCTTTTTCTAGGTTTTTATCATTCAAGAGGCCACGCCGTCTACCTCACAAACATGGCTTTGCCTTAATGGATTTTTATAGGCGATGTGTGGCGAAGCAAATTGAACTTCATTGACACATTTGTTTCTGTTTTTACCCCCCTTGATTACAAACCTGTATAAAACACATACACCGATAATGCTGCTTATGTGTACCAAATGAAAATACGAGTGATGATACTGAATCTTTCAAAATGATGACTTGAGCTAAACAGAGACATGTGTTGCAGCACATCGCCGTCCATCTCTGAGAACTTGAATGGTCTGGCTGAATCTTACCTGCATACGTAATGGACACGGGCAGAGTTTTCATATCAAGGTTTACGTTTTAAATTGGGTTCAACAACAAGAAAGCGACCCCTGGGAAACACTTTCTTGTCACACCATTTTTTGTTGTTTCACTTAAGAGTCTTACTATTTTCATTTTTAACAGCGCTCATGTCACTGGTCCACAGTGGGCGGGGAAAAGGTGCGGCTGTGACTATTTGACGGGTTTATTTCCGCAGTTTCCTATTTTAACATTAAGCTCTGTGGATTTGAGCACTTTTCACTCAATGACATGGTACATTGGTGTTTAAGCTACAAAAGATATGTGGCCAAATGTGTCTCCAGGGGTTTGAAGAATCCGCTTCTAATATTTCTTGGGGACTGAGTTGCAATGTTCACCATTACACTGCCCGACCTCGCCTGGGTCGTTATCTAAATGTTCACTTTTCCTCATCCACACTAACGAGCAACATCTGTACTGTCAGGTTAATTCATTCTGGTGACTGTTAAAAAAAAATCTTTGATTTAGCCGTTGAGCATAACATGCTGCTGTTGTTGTGCATGCATAGTCCATGTGATGTGTGTCACGGTCTCATTGAGCATGCTCAGTGTGGCTTTGGGCTCTTCCTGTTGCAGTGATGAAGAAGTGCACCAGCTTCTTCTCTCTGCCGCTGCTCATTTGTACCAAACCAAGCTTTCTCTGCCTCACTCTTCTCAGTTCCTGCTACCCTCTTCCTCCTTATTTGAAACACACGCACACATTAAGTCTTCTCATGACAAAAGGCCCTTGATCTGTCCCCGAGGGCCACAGCACGCAATGGGTTAATCCTGACTTGCCTTTTGTCTTTGTAGGAGTAAAGAGTGTGCGTGTGCGCGTTTGTGTGTGTCCCTGTGTGTGCTGTGTGCAGGGAGTTGGGGATACATGTTGGGGGGGATGGGCGCCTCAGGTTTGGTACACAGGGTTTCCTACTTTGTCTGGCAGGGACTAACTGGACAGGAGGAGGAGGGGGGGGTTGAGAGGTTAACAGAAAAGGGGTGTGGCTTAAGGTACCGTCCCTCTTCCTCGCTATCTCTCGCTCGCTCTCTCTCTCCCCCACCCCCACCCCCTTGCCCTCACTGACAGGGTTTCCTGTGGCTGAGTGCAGGGGCGGAGTCCACGGAGATGGAGCGATTTAGTCCCTCCCCTCCAGCTTGAAACAAACTACTCACCCGCCTGAAATTAGGAATGCGCAATCTAGTGGCCACACACAAACACACACACACAGCTGCAATGGCGTCATTTTTACTATCTTATTTGCTGGAAACATGTATGTCTTATGCATTTGGTCTTGTAAACAGTTACATTGTTTTAACATTAAGTCATTTTAATCACAGTCTCTGTAAGCCCTGAGCACATTATAGTGAATGGAAAATAACAAGTAGTTTAAATTCTTTTGTCTTAAAGAAGTCTTATTTGAAAAATTGCACCATTTGACCAAACAACTTCATAATTGGCTTAACAGGACGAACTTAAAATTAATTGATGAATTGAAGCAAATGCAATGAAGGCAGTAAGGCATTAACCCGGAGAACAAAAACCTTAAAGGTCATTACATTACAAGGGCTTGAGCTGAGGTATAAGGTCTAACAGAAGACTGCACTTCTCTCAAACGTAACCTTCTTATTCATGTGAAGACTAACAAGGGCCACACACACTTGTCATTGTGCTGACAGGCAGGCTCCCAATAAACAATAATTCTTTTCGACCAGTCTAACTTGCAGATGAGTACACACACCGCTAGATAAAATATAATCATCTCCAAGAGACGTAGAAAAGAGCACAACAGAAGAACCGGACAGACTGGGAAACACCCAAATTTCTATCAAAAATCAGCATTGCAGACCTCACGCTGGTGACCACTGTGTGATCTGCTGCTCCGGGGCTAATGACAAAGGCGAATGGTGTGTGTGCATGCTTTCGTTTTTAACTTTCTGTCATGGACAAATGGCCAAAACAAAGGTGTTCTTTTACTTTCAGTTTTTGAAATCCTGAAGGGAAAAATGGCACTTTTTTCCTAGTGGTCCATACATAAATGTTTCACATCAGCGTGAGCAAAAAATACCGGGGAAAGAAATCAGCACCTTCCGCTGTGGCAGGTAAAAATGTCAAGTCACACGGGACCAGGGCAGACTCTATTAATGAAAAGCCAGGGATTCATACTACATGACGTATTCCATATTTCTAAGTTTATTCTACAAAGGTGACACAAGTGGAAGACAAAAACACGGTTTCCCATCGAAACGTTCAGTGATTGTCTGCTGATGGGGGGAAAAACCACAGTGTCATAACCTCCTTCAGTATCCTGCAGGACGGCAGAAAACCGAGCTGACCGCCATGTGTTTGTGTTGCAGGAGAATTTGAGGAGGAGTCCAAGCAGCCCACTCCGTCTGAACCACAGAAACACCAGCTCAAACACAGAGAACTCTTCCTGTCTCGACAGTTTGAATCGTTACCTGCTACTCACATACGGTACGTGTCTGAATCCAGCTGCTTTTATTTCCTATTTAAAGACTTCCTGTTCTACTGTTGATGAATGTATTGATCTATAGTGACGGGGGGGCACACGTTCGCATTTTAGATATCCAAAAATAGGGGACTCGGCCACCTCCTCATCCTCACTCCACCAGCAACAGATGTGAATGTGATAAGAGAGACAAACAGACCATATCTTCCTTCTGCAGCACATTCCGATTACTTTTTGGATGTTGATCCCCTGAAGTCCCAGTGGTATTTGTTCTTAGGAGAAGCTAGGATGGGAGCCACATGCACATTTCACACTAATGGTTTGTTAGTACACACATACTTTTTGCTGGCTGTAACGTTATTGCATGTCTTCAAGCCTTTGTTTTTCCTGTTGATACTGTAGAGCAGGGGTATTAAACTATAATTTAAATATGTCTGTTAGATAAAGTTTCCAGAAGCAAAGGTCAAGAAGATCATAATGTAACTATTGTGTGTACTATTGTGATTTAAATAGGGGTAAAGAGTTTTATCAACATCTGCATTGAACTAATACACAACTAACGCAAAGCAAATTAAGTCAGTACAATTCACAACTGAACATATATGTATGACTGCAAATAATATTCTCACAGCCCTACTTTTATGTAGTTATTGAATTTGAAAATTTAAAAAAATGTGAAAATTGTACATGTTCAAATGAAAGGCTTCAATCAGAAAAAACAAAATAAAGGAAAGATTAGCTTGAATTTCCCCTTCTGTTTCATATTTGGACACATTCACATGTGAAACAGTCGTCTCAGCAAATTATAAATAAGAAATCCAAACACATTTTAATAATTGGAACAGTTTTGTAGACCGTATATATATCCCACTTTTTTGCTCAGTGGGAGAATTGAGCTCTAGCTTGTCGAACCAGGATTTAAAAAATGGCTGTGAATGCAGTCAGGGCCATTCTCACACTGAGGCGGAAGTGCTCATTGTGCCTCATAATGGCGTTTCAATGGTTTCTAAGCATAGGAGACACTGGTTTACTGCTCCCAGCAGGGAAGTATGAACAGAAATGAGTCTGTCCATTCTGGATTAAATGCTCTACTTTCAGTCTACTTTTCTCTTTGCAGAGCTCTATTTGTTGCTTTTTTCTCTCACCCGTCGTCCTTTTCTTGTTTTCTCAGTCTCACTCGTTCACAATTTGTGCTTTTTTTTCTTCTTTTTTCTTCCTACAGTCTTTTTATGTGTAATTTGCCACATCTCTCTGCACTGTTGAGACAATCTCATCCTGCCTGGAATACAAAGACTCGATTGGTTGAGTGATATCACCTGGGATGGTTTGAACTCTATTGTTCTGTGCTTTAAGTCACTACTGTAAAGACTACCAAAGCAGCGCCGGTTGAAAAGTGCCCGTTGAGGTTCAAATCAAAACCGTCTGTTTTAGCTTTAGGTCCAGGTCCGGATGGGACGGCTTCTGGATCCGGTCCGCCAGTTAGTGACCCCTGCCGTAGACAATCTTTGTCTTCGACATTCTGGTCAATTAATGCTCTATTCTGCCTCCCCAGGGGGAAATGTAACGTCACTCTCCTCAATGAAACCGACGTCTTGTCCGGCTACCTGGAGAAAGAAGTGAGACAACATCGGTTTTATTTTTCTCAATGTGTTGGTGCATCTTGCATGCAGCTGTAATTTTTGTATGCGTGTTTGGTCCAGGACTGCTTCTTCTACTCGTTGGTCTTCGACCCCGTCCAGAAGACCTTACTGGCTGACCAGGGAGAGATCCGGGTGGGCTCAAAGTACCAGGCAGAGATCCCTGACAAGCTAGCTGAGGGTGAGCAGCTCATTTTGAGTTAGACACACCAGGCAAATGCTACACTGTTTTATATATTAAAAAACAAACAAAAAAATGTTCCCCGCCCTAAGTTAAACCCAGTTGTTCTCGTTTCAGGGGAGTCGGACAACCGGATCCAGGAGAAGCTGGAGACCAAAGTGTGGGACCCCAACAACCAGCTCAAAGACCCACAGATAGACCAGTTCCTGGTGGTGGCAAGGTAACGCTCTCCCATCTGTCACTCCGTTGCATCATCATCACTTAACCCTGTTGCCATGAAAACGTCTGACATCCCCAGGCAAGCTTTTCTAGAGGAAATGTGTGAACTGGCAACAACTTTGATAATCTCTTGTGGAAATATATTTTATGGTTGGTTGATATAAGACGTGCACTCTTGTTTGGAGGGTTTTGTTTAAATGAAGGGTGTAGACACATTTTTGTATGAATGGGTGAATGATGTCATGTAGTGTTAAAGCGCTTTGAGTGGTCAGAAGACTAGAAAAGCGCAATGCAAGTACCATTTACCATTTTCATAAGGTTTGATCACAAATGTACATTCAGGTGATGATACTACGCTAGTGGTTGGGGGAGGGGCACAGTTTGATAAAGGAAATCTACTGCCAGTTTGGTTTTGGAGGGAATCCTCCTGCTGCCCATTAAATGGTCCAAACGCACCATCTAGTGTTCATGCATAAACATTCAGCTCCCCACACACACCCTCTGATAAAATGTCTTATTTCAGGGCTGTGGGAACCTTTGCTCGGGCCCTTGACTGCAGCAGCTCCATCCGACAGCCCAGCCTCCACATGAGTGCAGCTGCAGCCTCCAGAGACATCACACTGGTGAGATGTCTGTTTATTTTTGTGTAGGGCTGTGTGGTATGGCCAAAAATCCATATCACGGTATTTGATATTGCAATGCTTTGCAATGAATCGCTTTCTGATCTAACTTAGGTTGGATTTTCCAAAACCAAAAACCCTCTGAACAGACACAGCGACTCTCTTGGGCACAAGTTGTGCATCTCTGGTCGCTCATTGTTCCTCTTGTATCGCTCTTTTCCATGTTTTCCGTGTTGTGAGCAGTACCCAGCATGCCGTTTGGCGGGGTAACTTTTATGAATGTACTTAGTAAATTATTAGTGTTACAAATTGTTTATGTGTCACAAGCTGCTGTGGTGTTTTACCCTGTTACAGAAAGTTCATTGTTCTAAAGTTATAACCATGACTCTCACGCTCCTTGATGACGTGTAAAAATAAATTCTGCCGACTGCCGAAGAGCAATGTCAGTTTTCATGGCGTAACAACCGTATGAACGGTACGTGAGAAATTCATATCGTACGGAAATCTTATACCGGTATACCGCCCAGCCCTAGTTGTGTGTTTTTCCACACAACATTTTGTGTTTTCACACCATAATAATTAGGCCTCAATACTTAAATATTTTTTTTAATTCCTTGTTTGGTGAAATTGGCATGCACATTTTGACGGCTGACGCCTTTTATCATTTGTTGTTAGTACAGAAGTACAGATTTGTGTATGTGTATATGTGTGTGTGTGTGTGTGTGTGTGTGTGTGTGTGTGTGTGTGTATATGTATATGTACACACACACACACACATACAATGCAGGGTTTGATTACCAACCAGCATGTGATCATGTGACCTTGTGTATCCACATTGACTTCAGCTTTGACTGTAAATGCGTTTTCTGCAATAATAATTTCCTGGAAAATAGCTCCTTGGGATTGCTTATCCCTTATGTTCCGAGCCAGCTGCCAATCTGTCAGTGTTAAGAAGAATGTTCTTCTAATTCTAATATGTCTAATATATCATGCTGATGAAGCTTTACCTTTCTCCTGCCCTTAGTTCCACGCTATGGACACGTTGCAGAAGAACAGCTATGACCTGGCCAAAGCCATGTCCACGCTGGTTCCCCAGGGTGGCCCGGTGCTCTGCCGCGATGAAATGGAGGAGTGGAGCGCCTCGGAGGCCATGCTGTTTGAGGAGGCTCTGGAGAAATACGGCAAGGACTTCAACGACATCCGTCAAGACTTTGTAAGTTTCTTCTATTCTGTGGAAGCATGAAGAGTGATGTGATTTCATATCACAGTATTTTTGCGGTTTTAGTGTACATCACAGTATTTCTTTTTGAGTAAACCATAAATTCATTGATGCCAGGAAGGACCTCCGGCCAATTGCCAGCCCAGCCCTAGTTTGATGTGGAATTATAATTTAGATCCTGGGTTCAAAATGTATAGTGGTTACTTGCAGAAGGCCACACAATTCAACTGATCAAAAAAAAAAAATATTTTAATATTATTTTATTCAAATGCTCAATGGCACCTGGGACAGACTAATTATCTTTGGCCCACAGGATAATATCTAATTACCATTAGTCTACCGGGGGGGCGCACGGTGTGAAAGGACTGTCTCCTATGATTTTACTGGTCTGGCCCACTTGAGAAGTGGGCAGTATGTGCCCCCCTAACTAAAATGAGTTGTACACCCCTAAATAGAGCTTATTAAAGCTTAAATGCATGTGACTCCATGCAACCTCCATCAACGTTAGCTGAAGCTCAGCAGGACTTTGCTAACAGCTAACGTTAGCTAGCTCTCTTCGTTGTTCAACTCAATCCGATCAGTTAGTGGTGCAGCAAAGTTGTTATGAACGTGGGTCCGTGGTGTCCTGGATGATAATAATTTCCATTAATGGTTTTTAGTTATAGAGCTGCTTAAGTTTCTGGAAGAATTTTTTTTCAGCCTTGAAATAAGTATCCATCCATCTGTAAACCGCTTATCCTGCACACAGGGTCTGTTTTAAATTCTTCCTCTCCTTCAGCTGCCTTGGAAGTCGCTTGCCAGTGTGGTCCAGTTCTACTACATGTGGAAGACCACTGACCGCTACATCCAACAGGTAGGTCTGCAGTGAGCCCCTCTAAGCACCGCCTCGGTTTGACTCCTCTTCTAATTGTTTTCTCTCTCCATTAGAAGCGGCTAAAGGCAGCAGAGGCAGACAGCAAGCTGAAGCAGGTGTACATCCCCACCTAGTAAGTGTCATTGTAAGTCGCTCCATAAAGTAGCCACCATTGGTATGAAGTACGGTCGGGATAACTCTCCTCTCCTCTCTCCAGCACCAAACCCAACCCCAACCAGATCATGGCGCCAGGGAGCAAGCCTGTGTATAAACGGGGCAGCAGCGCTTCCAGAAAGGCCTCAGCTGTGAGAGTTGCCCACAGTAAGTACGCACTGCGAAGGACCCACTTGATGGGGGGGGGGGGGGGGGGGGGGGGCGGCGGAGGATGGGACGGACTGACTCCAGATTTAGTTGATTTTAGGAAAGCGATGATTAAAAAAATCTTCAGGACTCACATCAAAACAAAGGTTGTTAATTCTGGCGTGATCAGAAGGGATTAAGCTTCACCTTAATAGTTTCAGTCTAGGAGACGATAACTTTGTTGATCAGCACTCACCTCTCGTAACACCAACGCTCCTCCCACCCAACCAGCGGCCCAGTCTCCTCAGTGGTACGCCTGGGGCCCTCCCAACATGCAGTGCAGACTCTGCGCTTCCTGCTGGATCTACTGGAAGAAGTACGGAGGCCTGAAGACGCCCACGCAGCTAGAGGGCGCTGCAAGAGCTGGCTCTGTAAGTCTCTCTTCTCTCCAGCAGCACTGTCCCAACGTTAAGCTTGAGTTCTGTAAACATTCCATTCAAGAGTTGTCTTCTAAGAATATGTCTTCGTCCTCCGTTCAGGAGTCAGGCCCCCGCGGCCACATGACCCGCCAGGAGGTCCAGGGCATGTCGCCGTTCACCCGCAACGAGGGTCGTGCCAAGCTGCTGGCAAAGAACCGCCAGACGTTCATCCTGCAGACCACGAAGCTGACCCGCATTGCCCGGCGGGTATGCGAGGACATCCTACAGCCTCACCGTGCCGCGCGGCGGCCCTACGCCTCCATCAACGCCAATGCTGTCAAAGCGGAGTGTATGTTCAACACTCTATTATTGCATGTTAATCACTCTTTAAGTCTTTATGTGAGTTCACCGTATGGAAGATGAATTCAAACCACGTTGTACTATGTTTGTGTTCAGGTATAATCAGGCTGCCCAAAGCCACAAAAACTCCTCTAAAGACTAAGCTGGTGCCTCGACCGTCTCTGGCCAACATAGTGAAGGATTTAGGTAAGGACCGCAACGTCTCTCAGCATGTACCTTCTACGTTTTGATTGGTTGTTGAGGAGTGTTGTTGCGTCTCTGCAGCCATCTCAGCGCCTCTGAAATTGAAGGCGTCTAGAGGACCCCCGACACCCATCAACCGGAATCAGGCCAGCCAGCCGCGTGTAGGCCAAAGCCTGCTGGGAAAGAGGGGCTTCGACAGCGTTAGTCACACACACACACACACACACACCCTCGCCCCTCATGCGCGTTGCATTCTTTGAATGGCATAACCCATCGTCCAATTTTCTTAACTTTTTGGTTCCAGGTAAATAATGTTGTACAATGTGGCCCAGACAGCCAATCAAATTAGGTGGGCTTTACTGCTTTTCTGACGAATCTTTGCTTGGAGGCATGTAGATGTGTAAGAAACGGACAAAGGCTGATGAAAGTTAATATTAGCAGTTTGCACTAAATCTGTCATTCCCTGATGACAGCCACGGGGCTGTCTGTTCACCCATGGTAAGCAGAGAACCCGGCTGATTCACTCACCCGGTCTGTCATTGGTCCACAGGCTACTGGCATGCCCTACCCGGCTAATGGGAGGCCGTACACTTCAGGTATGAGGACCACCTCTCAGTCGGTGATCAAGCGGCAGAAGGTCAGCCAGGGAGAGGCACCCAACCCTGTGGTGTTTGTGGCTACAAAGGACACCAGGTACTTCTTCTTCTTCTTCTTCTACATCGCTCAAATGCTTCTGTAGGACAGCAAAGAAAGGAGGGCTCTTTTTTCAACCACAATTATGGCCTGGTTTTGTGTCTATCTCCGGGCTGTGAGCTGCTGATAGAAACATGATAGTGACGGACAGACAGGCAGGCGGACGGACGGACGAAGTAAACTCATTATGTCCTGGTGTTCTCTGTCAACCAGGGCTCTGAGGAAACATCTGACGCAGTCAGAGATGCGCCGGGCAGCAAGGAAACCGCACCTCCTGGTCCGGATCAAACTTCCACCGCCCCCCCGCTCACTGGCCATGCCCCTGCTCCCCTCCAGCACCAGTGAGCCCATCGTCCTGGAGGACTAAAGGGTGGAGGAACATGGGGGGGGGGTCTTTTACCGGGACATGGGATTTTGGAGGGGGGGTCTGTGCTCAGGTCCTGACTTAACAGGCAGCACAGTACGCCATACCAGTAGTCTTTTATTTCCCTATTTTCTTTAGTCTTCTGTTACTTCCCAAATGTTGATGTGACACACAGATATACATGCACACATTTAATGACTGTACAATTCCATCACGCACAAACACACACACACCGACACTCACACATCACTATGGGCGTTGTAGTATTTTATACCAGATCCTGAATCATTTTTTGCTCCCCTCTTTTGATTTCACCTGTTTTTAAATGTGTAATTTAAATCGAAATACGTCTCATCCTAAAAACAACTGCGTTAAAGCACACTTTGTTTTTCTTCCCCCATGACGTCTCTAACTGTGTAAATATACGCACCGTTGAATGAAGCTTGCAGTATGTGAGGAGAGGGAGCTGGGGGGGCGGTCTAATTTGATAAGAAAATGTAATTCCAGCAGGGACTAATCTGACTGGCTTTTAATCCTAGCCTGTCCATGCTCGTATGTACTGGGGAAGTTCTTATGGAGACACGCTGAGGAGACATGTTGAGCCGTCATCAGCCCGTCTGAACACAGTGTTGTCTGTAACACTTTCAGGGGTTATTACACAGCTCCAGTCCTTCCCACCTCAGTGATGAAAGTACTGAGTGAGCACAAAATCGTGTGTGTGTGTGTGTGTGTGTGTGTGTGTGTGTGTGTGTGTGTGTGTGTGTGTGTGTGTGTGTGTGTGTGTGTGTGTGTGTGTGTGTGTGTGTGTCACACGTACAAAATCGCAAGTGCCATCTTGGTAGGAAACACGAGTACAGTCCGAATGACTGCTGATCTTCTTAATGACTTCATAAAATCATAAAATAATGCAGATCACAACTATTAAAGCTGACTGGGCCATCTTCCAATGGCTTTTTTAATCAATTAAAACTCCAAAACCTATATACAAACCACTTTGATGACGCTTCCTTATCCTGACTTCGCTTCTCTCATTAGTTTTGTGCTCACTTAATATTTTCCCTATTGATTAACCCACTATACTGTCTCCACCATCTCCAGGCATTACGGTCTCCTTTTTAGAGCCGCTTTTATCCGGTTGGAGGAGAGCAGTCGGCTGCTGCTCTTTGCCTCAGTCCAATACATGTGAACATACTGCCGGGAATCAAAGGGCAGAGGGTCATCGCTTATACCCTGTAGGACGCATCATTGGTAGTTGGAGGAAAATCCAAGGTTACTGTGTTACTCGCCATGATAAGAGAACACGTGTGGCTTTAAAGGTACCATGTTCAAGTCTGCAGAGGTCTAAAATGAAGCCACAATGTGCAAAAATAGAAAAAAGGACCCCTTTTAACTCTTGAATTAAAGCCTCAGTATTGCTCACACTGTTTGGTTGGTGGGAAACAGACAGTTATGTTACAAAAAACGTTTTTTTTTAAGGGCAATATGTAGATGTAGGGAAGACAATTGGGGCCAAAAATGAAGTTCTGGAATAACGTGGCAAGAAGAGTCTGATGTTAAAGCATGGCCTTGATCCTCTGGTAATGCCTGCCGATGCAGAGCAGAATGGGCAGGTGTGAGGGCGGTGAGCCGTCTTCAGCTTGTCTCCATGTGCTTTTGTTTCCTTTGTCTATTTTGGGTTCCCCGTTTGTACTGTTATTAAAGGGTGAGTACTAAACGCAAGTTGTTAATTGGATAACTATAATTCCCGCGAATCCCCACAGCACCGAGGGCTTACGCTGGTTTTATAAGCAAGTTTGGTCCCAATGTGGGCTTTGTAATATTTCTCCAAAAAAGAAATTTGAAGTGTCGAGTTTGTAGCAAATACTAATCTGTGTAAAGACTAAAAGGAGAACTGGCATATTTTAAACTTTTTTACATCCAAAGTGTGTAATTCTGCTCCATTATTGTGGAGATGACTCAACCAGGCTACTGTACATGTGAAACATTGCTCTCCTTCATCGGGGGGGGGGGGGGTCATTTGAACCAGGGGCCACATTCAAAAGGAACAGGGTGATGATTTTTGTATGATGGGGACAAAACATGCTACAAACAAACTTTTTCTCAAGTGTTTTTTATTCCGACGTCTCTGTATCCTTTAATGTATCTTGATAAGAAAAGAAATAAAGATTTTTTTTTTCTTCGTGGTCAGTCATGGGCTCTGTTTATCTCTGTATTCACCTAATTGCTACTTTAGAGGAAACCGCTTGGCTATCAAACTACCAAACACTGTCTTTGTCTTATTTATTCCAAGATTAAGTATTTCCTAAAAGAAATTTACATTTTAATACTTTTAATTGCAATTTACTATTTTTTATTAGGCAAACTTAGATTGATACTGATATGAAAAGGGTAGTGTATCTATTTTTCACAGTTTGAGATATGTGAGTAAATGTTTTTGGCATTATAGGAACTCTATGCCGGACTGTGCGGGAATTATTTGCATCTGGTAGTGAAGCTGCAGATCAGAACCAGCTTAATATTCTCCCCTCGACACTTCCTTCACAAGGGTGTTGGGAGAATACCGTGGCCTTCATGGCTACCCCCCCGCCCCCCCCAATTAAAGAGCACCGGTACCTTAAATTCTTTAATATTCACAATTAAATTGTAAATTAAATTGAGGTTCTAGCTGCACTGCATGATAAGGCAATATTCTTGTGTGTCCCATTCAGCACCAATGAGTACTTGACTCAACATGATGTACACCACTTCAATGTGGCAAATACTGATGACCAGTTATCAGGAAATATTTATTGCCATCATATGTCAGACATACAAGGAATTTGAATTGGCGGTTGGTGTGTAACAGCAGACTGGATGATAAGACAACTGCACAAGGAATAAAATATAATACTATGGGTTAGTTTAAAAATAAAATAAGTTAATATTTAAAAATTCAAAATAAAGTGCACCAGCGGACAACAGAAAGTGACAAGTGAAAGTGACCGGTGGGATATCAGAGTCAGTCAGTGGGGGACTGGGCTCTGTTGATGAACCCGACTGCCGACGGGAAGAAACTGTTTGTGTGGCGGGAGGTCTTCGTCCTGATGGACCTCAGCCTCCTGCCAGATGGAAGAGGCACAAACCGTTTTTGTCCGGGGTGACGGGTCGGCTACAATCTTTTTAGCTTGCTTCAGGGTCCTGGAAGCGAACAAGTCCTGGAGAGACGGCAGATTGCAGCCAATCACCCTCTCTGCAGAGCGGATGACACGCTGCAGCCTGCCCTTGTCCTTGGCTGCAGCGTACCAGACGGGGATTGAGGAGCAGAGGATTACTCGATGATGGCCGTGTAGAAGTGGACCATCATTGTCTTTGTCAGGTTGAATTTCTTTAGCTGCCTCTGGAAGAACAACCTCTGCTGAGTCTTCTTGGTGATGGAGCTGATGAATCCGTAATTCCCTGCTGGATACTGACTCATTATTTAAAAATCTGCAGTTAACAAACATATTTGACCTTGATAAGTTCAAAGAACATTTGTATTCCAATTTCTTTTTAATTCAGTTCTCATTTCCCCGCAACTGCCTTAAAAGCTTAGACCTCAGACCAAAAACAAAATCCAAAAATCCAAATCCAAAAAGGCGTTAAACAAGCTCTGTTGACAGAATTGTATAAATGAGTAATAATACTGTTTATGGAAGTAGTGCAAATATTTGTGATTGTAATCAGTTTTTAGTAGTGCAAATATTTGTGATTGTAATCAGTTTTTAGATTAATATTTCATTCTTCTTGTGGGTAAGGAGTCTCTTATTTAAAATTATTTAAATGTTTGTCTGTTTGATAAACTGGTAGAGAGCATAAAGAGCTGTCTTAATTTATGTGTTTTAATTTGTTTTATATTCTTTTTGCAAAATGTTTGGAAATGTTTGTGGGTGTCCTGGAGATCCACATCTCAATTTAAACGAGTTTAAGTGGGTGCTTACTAATTATTTTGTTTCTCTGTTTTTACTTTATCAACATGTATCTTCACTGACAAATTCAGTTATCTTCAACACAAAAAATTAAATGACGTCCACTGTGTTAAAATATGCAATGAATAGGACATAAAGGGATCAATCCTTTCTGAATCCCTGGGATACAATGGTAGGTGTGTTTCTGTTGTCAGGTTAAAGGAAAATATGTCTTTCTTTATTCTCCGCTGTGTTCTTCTCAGACAACTTTTAATTAGAAGACTGAATTAGTCCGACTGAGGTGTTGATTTCAACACACCTGAAAAGACGGATGTGGATTTGAGCCATGTGATCAGTGTAGCCAACTTAACAACTTTGTTGCTAGATTTGGCAACTTTTTAGACTACCCTGGCACCTAGCAACACATTTAGCTATTTAAAAAAAATCAAATGCTGAAATGCACGTATTTTCCCTCTAAATGACACAAAAACAACATGTGCCTGGCTGATCATAGAATGTGTTGTTTATATCACTTCTACAAATAAAAACAAGAGATAATGAACAAACAAATCTGAACTTATCTAAATCTAAATCATCTTTTTGCGGAGATAGACAGCGGATTTGAGTAACGTTATTTTGTATTCTGCATAATGACGCAGTTTTACGTTATTAGTTAATGACGCCATCACGCAATGACATCAAAATGTAATTTAGCAACTTGTAGCAACAAATCAACTTGCCTCTAGCAACTTCCCCGGATAGTTGGCAACAGTGCATTTGATAAACATACGCTCCAGCCCACCATCGAGTGTCACGTCACTGACAGAAAAGAATAAACCAATAAAGAAAGGGAAATTGTGAGCATAAAACGATACGACAACATCATGGCGTGATATTTTATCCCCAAAAATACTATGATTTATCATTTCAATATAGCATGAGGCATCACATATAAACCAGTCTCTACCTTTTGACAAAACTGTCAGAATAAAAGTAAATGTTATTGAGAAGGCCATGACAAACACAGATCCCCCCTGCAAACAAACATACATCTAAGCTAGCATTAGCATTAGCCAATGTTTGCAAGCGCTACACCTCCTATGACGTCATCATAATCGGGACGTGGATTGGCCTGTCTTCAAGCGCGGTCACTACACGTTGACGTGATTGGTCGCCGGGGCTAGCCACGTGACGTTGCGCTCGGGCACAGCTGATGCTCATTTTCAAGTAGCGTTAGTGGGCGGGAGGTGAGACCCGGTTTAAAAGACGAGGGGACCCTTCAGTCCTTTGCGTGTGACTCCACAACAGAGCAGCGGGGCAGCGTTGGTGCCACAACAACTAACTGCCAGTCCAACTTCCCAACACACCTCCGCTCTGTAGACCAGGTCTCCTGCCGCGGTTCTTCAATCAGAACCTCCGCGCAACTCTTATCTGCTCGCAGCCATGTTTGAGGTAACCTTAACTTAAGTTACGTTTGCTGAAGTGTGTCGACTTTCTTTCGTTTAACTTGTTTGCTTTTTGCATCTGAAAGTTCCGTTAGTTATTATATTTGGGAAATTTTTAAAACGTAACTTAAGAACTATATGGCATGCTGTAGTAAAATACAGCTAGTAAACCCCATAGTTTCCTTTTTCATAAAGGAACTTAAAAGTGAGTTTAGACATTCAGGCATGATGTCCGCTGTCTGAACCAACACTACGGTAGTGTGGTAAAGTCTCTAGAGTTTCATTGTTTAGGTCTATAGCGCTGATAGTGCCCATCTTTTGTTTTAGACCTTTTATGAAAATAATTATCAAGTCTGAGGGATTCTTTAAGCAAGACCAACAAAATCAGGACTTATTCTGTGCTCAAACTCTGAACTTTGTGTTTTCAGACCAGAAGTGATGACTTGTTCCTGCCTTCCCACCAAGACGAGGAGCTGGTGCACAACCTGCTGTCCAATGAGGAGTCTGATGGCAATTGCGTTGCCAGGCTGTCACTGACTGAGGCCCTGCTCCCCCTTGTAGAGCCCCCCTCTCCTTCCCTCCTTCCCATGGTCTGCTCCACCCGCTACAAGACCGAGCTCTGCACCACCTACTCCACCACTGGTTTCTGCAAGTACGCGCAGCGCTGCCAGTTCGCCCACGGCCTACAGGAGCTTCACGTTCCCTTCCGCCACCCAAAGTACAAGACTGAGTTGTGCCGTGGCTTCCACATGACGGGTTACTGCTACTACGGTAGCCGCTGCCTGTTTGTCCACAATGCCACAGAGCAGCGCCCTGCCCTTCGCCGCAGCAGGAACGTCCCCTGTCGCACCTTCCGGTCCTTCGGCGTCTGTCCCTTTGGCACCCGCTGCAACTTCCTGCATGTGGAGGGCGGAGATGTCGGCAGTGGGTCGGAGTCGCCAGAGGTTGCGGACGAGGTGCTAGTTTCCAGTCCCCAGCCCCAACAGTCGACCAGGGAGTGGAAGCCCCGCGGAGCTCTGTGCCGCACCTTCAGCTCCTTCGGCTTCTGTCTGTACGGCACACGCTGCCGCTTCCAGCACGGCCTCCCTAACAAGATTCGATCAGCCGACCAGTCTCCCGGCAGCTCCGGTCTACCTTCCCCCACCTCCCTCTTTACCTCCTCTCCAATCTCTTCCACCTCCTCTTCTCCTCCAACAGCCTCTCCTCTCGCCACACCATCTGCAGAAGCCACGGCCCATAACGCCTTCACCTTTTCCAGTCAGCACCTCAGTGACCTGCTGCTGCCACTGGCCATCCGCCTGCAGCAGCTGGAAAGCAGCAAGGGCCAGGAGATCTGGGACAACAGGGCGATCTAACTGGATGTGTTGGCGTTTGAAACGAGCATTGGCACTGAACACCAGCTCAATTAAAGCCACTGTTTTTGTTTTTATGACTTTTTTTTAAAAATTTCTTTTAACCCTCCCTCTCTGGGAAATGTATTTATTTTTTTTAAGTTTTACTTCAGAGCTTGTGTCAGGAGGTCAAGCAGGACTTTAACTGTTAATTTGCTGATTATGCAGTCAATATGTTTTTGGTATGTCAGTTGTCTCCGGAATCAGTAGTTGCTAACATGAATATGATGCAATTCTTTTTAAACTATTGTAAATACTTTATTAATGAACTGAGTAAATGAAATGTGACCTCAGAATCATGAATAAACTAATTTTAATTTCAAACTGGTAGTCTTGATATTAATAGCTGGAACATGCAGAATCTGCTTGTGCATAGTTATTGTAAAATGCCTGGAAGTGTGACTATAGTGTTCAGTGACCGCGTATAGCAAGGACACTGACTACTGGACATCTTAATGCTACAGTTAATAACCGTTCTCTTAATCACCCCCCTGTTTAAACCTGCAAATTATCCAGTGTCAAGCCTTTGTGGCGAAATGGCTCGGTGAGTTGTGAAAGAACTTCAGAGGCCTGACTCCTATGAATGTAATTTTCAATGCTGAAAGTATCTAAATAGCTGCAGGGCCACAAATTTTGCCATAATGCAGTTACCGTATTTGCCCCAAGGTGCCTCTACAAGAATCTAGGTTATCTATAAAACTGTCCACTAAAGCCGTGGTCCCAAACCTTTTTTTACCCCACGGACAGTTTTCATGTCAGACCATATTTCGCAGACCGGTCGAGAAGGTCCGGCGGAATAACTGGAGGGGTAGTAGTCGTTGCGGGCGGAACGACCGACGGGGGGGTGTAGTAGTCACGCGCTCTGTTCGCTGGTGGGCGAAACTGCCGTGCACGGTAAGAGGACAATTGTAAACGTGGAAAAACGCCTGGTGACGCGTGGGGAATATTTCAGAGGGATGCGCGCACATAATTAGAAAAGCCAGTCAATTTTGTAAATCATTTTTCAGAAAAAAAATAAATACTTTCTGTGGTGCGGCCCGGTGGTTGGGGACCACTGCACTAAAGGACAATTTTATGGCCTTTCAATTGCCCCACTCTTCCAGGGTCATCCAAGCGGACCCCAAATATTGCCCAATTAAATGGCCGCCTGTGAGTCGGCACCGGAAAAGGCGGGACATCAATGAACTGAGTCTCATCTCGGCGCGTCACCAGTAAACGGAAATGGGAAAAAAATGAGAACGGATGTTTGCGTTAAAGTTACTACTTTCGTTTGGATTAAAAAGTGACCCATTTTACGCACTGTCGCGTATCATATTTAATTATAAAAATGTTATATTCTTCACAAAAAAATAAACCCCATGCGCCTTTTAAAGTGGCCTTATTTTGAAGGGTGCAGCGGATGTGTTTATCGTGCTCTAGTTTGATGGCATGACGGGACTCACTCCTGTTTATAACCAACGCTGGTTCAAACTTTCCCGCTGACTCATGTTCTCGCCCTACAGCCGCTGAAGCTTTATAGGTAAACTTATAGTTCTAATATTTGAGATTTGCAAAGGGGTTTTCTCTGTCGCTACACAGGAAGCTTAAGCTAGTAACGTTAGCATCCTATGTGATTGTAGCTGGCTACAACCGCGTTACTTGCGTCTCACTATATTTTACTAACGTTATCTAACGTTACCTAGTTGTATCCTAAATAACACATTGCATTCTTTTAAAAAGCAATTTATGTAACGTAAATGATGCTTTATCAGTAGTCGCTTCTGAATCTTTTGTCCCAGCTGATAGACGGAGCCCGTGTTTTATTTTGTTAGCATGAGGACACTGTTCGAGTTCCTATTGCAGGCGGTGGAAATTGAATGTTTATCTTACGGGTGGCTTTGATACAGTGGGTGCACGCAGAGCCAGGACCTACTACAAATCGGATGCCCGGGTAAATGGCTGATCAACCAAGAGTCCCATTCAAGATGATTTCCCCGTTAGCTCGCCTTCGTGTCCGTGATGTAAAAGCCTTCACATACGGTAACACAAGTGCCTTTTCCTCGTCAGCCGTCAGCATGGCGGACCGGGAGGAGCGCCGCTTCGCCGAGGTTTCCCGGGAGTCCGTCAAACTCATGGCCGAGAGTGCGGGCGTGGAGCTGGGCGACGATGTGGCGGCGCTGCTGGCCGAGGACGTGTGTTACCGGCTCAGGGAGGCCACGCAGGTCCGTGTCCCCCATCGTGACCGAAACATTACAGCCACACGCCACCTAAAAGCCGTCTCACGAGTGTGAAGTACCCTTTCCTCTAGTTGGGAAAGGCCGTCTGTCTTTGACACTGAAAGGATGCGTTCATTTGAACTACCATGTAACATGCAGAATTGACTGTGGATTGTTCTGGATCCGTACAGAGCAGCTCTCAGTTCATGAGACACGCCAAGAGGAGGAAGCTGACGGTGGAGGACTTCAACAGAGCTCTGCGCTGGAGCAAGGTGGAGGTGAGCTGCTCTGGGGTCCAAACCGCTCAGTCCGACGTGACGTGAACGCTCTCCAGCTTCTTTACGGGCCGTGTCTTCGTCAGGCTGTATGCGGCTACGGGGCCCAGGATGCTTTACCCTTCTGCCCGGCGAAAGAAGGGGAGCTTTTCTTCATCGAGGATCGGGACATCAACCTGGTGGAGTTGGCTCTGGCCACCAACATCCCCAAAGGCTGTGCTGAGACCATGGTGCGAGGTAGGAGGCCCGGCACCGTCAGACTATTCACACAAGTACCCCGAATGCCTAACTCGAAGGTATCTTTTTACTAATCACTATTCTGCTCTCCTGTCAGTAAACGTGTCTTACCTGGATGGGAAAGGCAACCTGGAGCCTCAGGGAACAGGTACGACGCATGGTTAACACACTCAAGCCACTTCCTCTATCCCAGTGAAGTGGCAAAACGCCGTTCTTCCCCGAGTTGTGGTGCACACTCAAGTGAATGAATCCCAATGTGGTGAAGCAGAATATTTGTAGAGTGCAACACACAATTCAATTTGAAGCCTGTTTTGTATACCAGGAGCAGACAGATTTTACAGAGCATGCATGTAAAAACATTCTAATGAAATCCAACCAGGTCACATGCTCACCAGCCGCTTAGAGGGTCAGAGAGATTTTCCACCTAATACATTTGAGGGGTGTGTAGGTCAGTGAAGACGCCCATGCCACGTTATGTTCCTTATTCATTGTCATGAATCGACCTGTAGCGGCCCGACTGTATCTAAAGCAGAGGTGCATCCGTTTGAGCCTGATGTCGGAGTTCAGTGTTCATCACAGACTGTTGCATTGTCCCAGTTCCCACAGCGGTGCAGTCTCTGTCGGAGGACCTGCTGAAGTACTACCAGCAGATCACCCGGGCCATCCTGGGGGAGGACCCCCACCTCATGAAGGTAAGCTGTTGCTGCATCTGGGTCAGTCCGGTGAATGAGTGGGTCTGTTCCAACCTTTTTGCTTCTGCGTGTTTCAGGTGGCTCTGCTGGACCTCCAGTCCAACTCCAAGATCGCTGCCCTCCTGCCGTACTTTGTTTACGTCATCAGCGGGGTAGGTTTGTCCCACGGCCACGTCTCGATCCAAACAGATGGGGACTGTAGGAAATGTCCAGTTAATATGATTCTCCCGAAGTAGATGAATACAATGCACGCAAAGTGAAAAAGGGTTGATTGTTGGGCTGTTTCTGTGCAGGTGAAGTCGGTAAGCCACGACCTGGAGCAGCTCAACCGGCTCCTCCACATGGTGAAGAGCCTGGTCCAGAACCCCTACCTGTATCTGGGATCCTACGTGCGAAGCCTGGTCTCCAGTGTCATGTACTGCATCCTGGAGCCGCTGGCCGCCTCCATCAACCCGCTCAACGACCACTGGACCCTCAGGGACTACGCGGCCCTGCTCCTCAGCCACATCTTCTGGTGAGCACGCACCTGCTTCACAGGGTTCAGACAACCACATTGGTACCGAACAGGGACACTCAAACGTGTATTTAAGAAAACATGAAAATAAGTAAGATCCGGCTGCTGATTGGTCCGAGGGTACCCTTGTTAAACAGCCACGCTGCCAATTTCTTGGCATACACTTCTATGGTGTACAATTGACGAGATGCAGACTTTTTATTTGATGAAAGCATTTAGAGAGTGAAGCATTGAAGATGTTTCATGAGTTATTGTCCTTTTTGTAAAGAATATCTCAGTCACAGCCAGTGTAGCATTATACATTACCGTTAATGTACAGAATACTTTAACTATGTGCATCATATTACATTGCATTACAGGTCATTTAGCTGACTCTTTTATCCAAATCAACTTACATTACATTTTGAACCCATGTTTTTTTTTTTTACATTTTTCCCCGGGGAGCAATTGGGGGTTAGGTGTCTTGCTCGGGGACACTTTGACATGGGACATGGGGCAGCCAGGGCACGAACCAACCTTGCGGTTCCCGGTGCACCCTCTCTACCCATGCGCCACAACGACCCCATATGAGGAAAAACGATTAGTTACATTTTCGTTTTTATTTTGTATAGCCCAAAATTACAAATCTGCCTCAGAGGACTTTACGGTCTGTACATATGCAACATCCTCTGTCCTGAAACCCTCACATCAGCACTGCCCAAAAAATAAAAAACCTCAGGGAGAAGGTCAGTGGAGGATCCCTCTCCATGAATGGACAGACTACAATGGATGTCATGTGTACAGAATGAACAATGTAAAAGATGTACACTGCGTTCAATTCCTACAACTGAAAGGATTAGTTGACAATACATTTTTTTTGTTGTTATCCCTAACTGTAACTAGTTTAATCTTCTCCACTTTGAGTATTTTCTGCTTTTCTTTACTCCCTGTAATAATGCATGGACTGTTGGTTTAAAAAAAAGGTCAAGCTCACTATTTCCTCCGCTTTTTATACTCAAGGCAATTCAATTCTTCGGCAAGAAAATATGAAAATAATATTTCGTTGCAGCTGGATGGACATCACTCGCTCCTTCCAGTGATTTATGTTAGACCAAAACCCCTGGCTCACATTTTTTAATAAGCCAGCGTGAGTTTGTTTGATTCAAAACATCATGAACAATATTTTTTCATGAGTTCGCATTTTTTCCCACTTGAGGGCAATGTAGCTGCTACAAACACAGATAATTCATATTGCCACAACGGCCGCCATCCTCGCATTCTTTGTCTGTCCACACATCAGCAGACGGGGCGCGACATTAGCATTCATGCGAGATGAGTTTCAGTCCCCCTGTTGGTCTCTGCAGGACTCACGGGGATCTGGTGAGCGGGCTCTACCACCAGATCCTGCTGTCCCTCCAGAAGGTTCTGTCCGACCCGGTGAGACCACTCTGCTCCCACTATGGAGCCGTGGTGGGGCTCCACGCTTTGGGCTGGAAGGTGTGTACATGTTTCTACATTAAAGAATAGGTGGTACGTCTGTGTGTAGCTGCGTTAATGACTTGAAGTGCAACTATATCGTCTCCGTGTCTGTGAGACACTTCCTAGTTCTCTTGTGCATCATTTTAGAGGCGTGTGTGTGCGTGCGTGTGCGTGTGCGTGCGTGTGTGTGTGTGTGTGTGTTGGCAGGCTGTAGAGAGAGTGCTGTTTCCACACCTTCCCGCCTACTGGGCCAACCTCCAGGCCGTGCTGGACGACTACTCGGTTTCCAACGCTCAGGTCAAAGCAGACGGACACAAGGTCTACGGAGCCATACTGGTCAGTACCAGAGGGACGCACGCGTCCTCTAATCCAGAGACTGGAAAAAAAGAGATTTGAAAATTATGGGTGATGAAATGGTGGAGGAGATGAAAAGGCAACGAGGAGCCGTGAGTCAGGAGAAAGAGTCCCTGCAGCGGGCCCTGGATCCCTCCCATCTTTTTCAAATCTCTTTCCTCTTTACCATATCATGAGCGGAAACTGTCTCCTGTCCCTCCCCGTCTCTTTGAAGTGAAGCTTTTGTGCTTACAGAGGAACGTTTGTTTGAGTGTTATATTCTTTCTAGGGAATACTTGTTACATTTTGTCCGCATGGTGGCATCCGAGCAACGGTCACAGAATAACGTCTCATATTATTGACCTTCATACCGATGAGATTGAGTTCTGCTGTTTGTCCTGCAGGTGGCAGTGGAGCGTCTGCTGAAGATGAAGGCCCTGTCTCTGTCTCAGCCTGCCGAGGGCGGCTCCGGCGGTCAGCCGGGCTCTGCCGTGGGTGGCAGGGTGAGCTCCCCCGGCCTCAGCCCCCCCCCAGAGCCTCTGTCGGAGGCCGCCCTGGGCATCGCCAGCCACCTCCAGGCAGGCGGGGCCGGCTGTCCCTGGGAGGAGTGGACGCCGGTCCCTCTCCCCGCCATGTATTGTGAGCTCTACTCTTTCTTCGGAGACAGCCTGGCGGTCCGGTTCAGCACTGGGCCGGGGTTCGGCAGCTACCCTCCCTGTGCCCCGTCACAGCTCGCTGATACCAGGAAGGAACCCTGTGGCCCCGCCTCCAACCCCGATACCGCCCGCAAGATGCCTCAGCTGACTGCCAACCTCAACATCAGCCCCAGGCAAGATGGGAGTCCTCGCACGGACCCGCCCCCGCCCAGCTTGGCAGCTACTGGTCCAGGAAGGTAAATCAAACCCTTTTCATAAACTAAACCATTGAGTTGGTGTTTGAATAATCAAAGGTTGTTGACTTTTAATCTCTCCTAAGGTCCCTGGCTCGCTCCTCTTCCTCCTCATCCTCCTCTGTGCAGCGCTCCAGATCGTCCTCGTCACGTCCGGGCCAGCGTTCAACCGGCCCGTCCCGGGACGTTTTCCCCAAAGCCCGCTTCACCTCCCCTCAAGCGGGACTTCCTGTGTTCACCTTCCTCATTGGCGGGCGGCAAATGGGTCGCCGTTGCCAGGGGCGCCGGCCCTTCCAGACCGCTTTTGCCCCGACTCCACCCATTTCGTCCGTCCCACCACGCGCCTACGCCCACAAACTGCCCGTCATCGGCAGGGTGGGCAAACCGGTGCGGCGCTGGGCGTGTTCCCATTACTCCCTTCATCTGCCTCTCTAGAGACGACCTTCTCCAAAATGAACTCCTACGCGGTTTGACTTCCACAGACTTCCACACTCCCTTCAGGCTGGTATTTTAGTATTTGAAAATCAGAATGACGTCAGCAACACAACATAGAGATTTGGTCACCTTTTTGCAACTGATATGGCCAAATAGTATTTTTAGGAACTAACAATTCTATTCTTAAGTTTTTTGTTTTTTTTACTTTTGTCAGAGCAATCATTCATTTCACATTTTGTAATAAATAAAGTTCATTACAATATGAAGACATTTAGTTTTGTCTGCTTGAAAGTGGAACATTCTGATCTTTTTCTTGTATCCTCATGTTTGAGACACAATATAAAATATTCATTCATCTGAAAACTGTAGTAAACTGGTCAACTAATAATTTGAGCTCTATGTTCATCAGAGTAAAATGGGATATGGGCTGTTTTCAGTGAATGTGGTCTGCAGCACTATTTGGTGTGCTGAAGCTGAGCCCACACAGCCGAGGGAGACCTGAATAAGGGACACACTTTCCAGTGACGGCCCAAATGTTGTTTTTTTCTCTGAGTAATGAGAGGACCAAAGGTCAGGACTTCGCCGGCCACGTGTTGACTTTGATGTCTTGTGCTGCTGTTTTTGCTGAATAAAACATTTTCTGGAGTTTAGACCTTTTTGTTGTTTTGGTTTTATGTTTTTAGTCCACAAGCCCGCCTGGTCTATATTATTATTATTATTATTATTATTATTCTATTTTATTGGGCCCGTGTCTTTGAACTGCATGGGGGGTTATAGCTCAATGAGCCCGGTCACTTCTCCTATATAGAACACTCTTTTTGGTGCTTTGATTGTGTAGTCTACAGATATTTCCTTGTTGGGCCCCTCGTGTCTCCTTATGTTCCTTCTGAGTCTCTGTAGTTGCTTGTATGTCACCAGTGATTATATCTGCTTGTTTTTGTCTGCCTCAGTCCTTCTGAGTCTCTTAGTGGCTCCTTAGTTTGTTTCTGTGTGGTCATTTTGAGTCTCTTGCTTGGTATGTTCCTCTTTTGAGGGACATTTTGTGAAGAGCGGGGAGGCTCCGGACCCTTTGGGCCTGTTGGCCTTTTGCCCAACAGGCCCGTCCAGTAATCCATCCATGGTGAACCGCACCACCTCTCTAAATACTTAAACGCCTAACTAGTTTTCAGTGTCTGGTTGCAGTCAGGAGAGGAAGCCAACAATGGCCCGGCTAGCGTCTTCTCTGGGACTGATGTGCCAGGTCAATGCTTTTGCCGGCCTGGTTCTCTGCTACCTGCTCTTCCTGCTGCTGGGGGGTCTGGTGTTCACGAGCGTGGAGAAGCCAGTCGAGAAGGAGCTGAGGGCCGAGGTGGCGGCGCTGCGCCGCTCCTTCCTGCGGGAGAACCCGTGTGTCCAGGAGAGCGAGCTACGGGAGCTGCTGGGAAAAGCTTTCTCTGCTCACCGGAGCAACGTGGCGGTTCTGAAGGCCGACGTCGACGAGAGGCGCTATGACTTCACGTCATCGCTCTACTTTGTCATCGTCACTCTGACCACCATGGGTAAGACGCTCGCATGAGGTCTGTATATGGCTCATTCGGGCTGCAGCGTGTGAATATTTTTTCATGTTGATCGTGGCCATTATCACAATTTCTGGTAATGACTTGTATTCACTCTTCCCTCAGGTTCTGACTCTTACACCCCCAAATCGGATGAGGCCAAGCTCTTCTGTATCTTCTACTGCACCCTGGGGATCCCCCTCACCCTGTTGCTCCTCACCCTCCTCTCCAAGCTCCTCCTCCCCGTGGTCACCCATGCTCCCGTCCACCACCTGCACACTTACTGGGGTCTGCCCTACTGCCGGGCCGCCCTCGTCCACGCCGGCCTCCTCTCCGTGCTCGTCCTCTCCCTCCTTTTCCTCCCCCCCTCCCTCCTGGTCTGCGCAATGGAGCCCAGCTGGAGCTTCCTGGATGCTCTTTTCTTCTGCTTTGTGGTTCTAAGCACCGTCGGCCAGGGAGGGAACTCTCTGGGGAGGAACTGGAGCCCTTCAGCCAAGGAGACACTGCACCTCCTCACCACATGTAGGTGCAGGTGTCCTTTTATGAAGTATTGCATTATCTTAATAATTCGTGCTGACTCACTTTCATATACCATAACTCCACTGACTGCCGTCTCTCTGGCGGCTGGTCTCGAGGGGCCTTTAGTGATAATACGGCTGAGTGCTTCTCCGACCCCTTGTTTTGGATGGTGTGTTGCACAACGGAAATACCGGTACGCACACTGCTGTACCGCACCACTCGTTTAGTTTAATTCGGTTTGTGGCTACATTGTATGACTCGTCTCATAGGGTTATTTTGAGCTGCATGCATTCATTCTAAATGTGGGATTGTTTTCATCTCACATCCCAGCAGCGGTAGTTACAGACACACATGGTGGTGTGCACCGTTCTAGTGTTATAACATAATCATAAAGTTATGTATTTAACAGTAATGTATCATATCAATTTAAGAATTAACCGAAGTAGCACCAACTATACAGTCCCCTCAAAGCAGCAAAGTCTTTTAGCCTCTTTCAGCTTGTTTTGGCCTGTAAACGTTGCTCTGAACAGATGTGTTTTCTAGCAGCAGCAGGCAGCTTTCTTTAGAGAAACGCTTCTGAACTGCTGCACTCTCCCTGCTTATCACCAAACATCAGACGTACACAGTTAGAGACTGGCTGGACAACGTAGTGGGGCTTTTAGCAGCGAGGTGGTGGATACTGTAACCAGAGCTAAAAGGACTGAGTATTGGATTTAAATGTCTCAGTTTTGCCCGTAAGGGGACAAAAGAATTGAGCAAAATAAGATTGACGCAGCTCTTAGAAAAGATCAGCGCCAACACCATTGATGTTATTGGCTATGTCCGCAGTGTAAGAAAGGCAGTGACAAATTAAATGAGGGTCACTATTCATGAAATAAATTATATGCAAGGCACTCTAAACCCCGTTGCCAGAATTCTAGACCTAATCCTTGATTTGGGCCGACGTGGCACATGAAGTAGAGAGGGTGCGCCGGTAACCCACGGGGTCAAAACCCGATTGCTCCCGTGGTGAAGAGTCCCTGAGCAAGACACCTAACTGCTCCTTGGGGCCTTTACGGCAGCACCCTGCTCCCACTGTGTGTGATGGGTTAAGTGTAGAGCAGTGTTTTTCAACCTTTTTTTGCGTCAAGGCACACTTAAGATACAGAAAAAATCTCACGGCACACCAACAACCGGAAATGATATGAAAATCAATCCCAAACATAGTTTCAGCATGAGCATAATATACTCTCTAGAGAATAATCCCCACGGGGGGTTAATGAAGAATACTTTCTTCTTCTTCAGTCCCCAAAAATGTAAAGAATAATCATTTTAATTAATTTTTCCTTCCTCTACTCTATATTATATGATGGCTTTCTTTTTTCTGCACATTCTGAAGTCCAGAACTGTTTGCAAATTTAAGATTTTGAAGTGAATGGTGCACCGGATAAAAAAAAATTCAAATTTTATAAAATTAGTTCACACTTATATGTAACTCTAAAATGCAATGTGGACGGGCTGGATGGACATTGGTTTTAAAATCTAATGGAAGTCTCTCCTCCACAGGTTACCTGTTGGTGGGCCTGGTGGTGATCATTACCTTCAAGGAAACAGTGCTGCAGGTTCCCCGGGTCTCTGCGGTGATGAGGCTCTTCTCTGGGCCGCAGTATGCGGAGCTGGAGGGCGTCCACCTCAGTGAACTGACACTTACTGAGGAAAGCTGTGAGGAGGAGCCTCAGTACTCGCAGTCCATCTGCACCGTCTCCTCCACTCAGCTGACGGGCCCCGCTGTCACGCATGTAGCCCCCTGACCTTCAAAGCTGGACCCCAGACCCTCCAACGCCAGACAGCTTCTGACTTGTAACCGCTGTGTAGATCCGAAATGTTTTGTCTTTGTTACACTGCCTCCTGGTGTACTGGAAGATGCACTCATTGATTGTTTTTGGCCACACGGAGGCAGTAGAACCAGGTAAAAACAACATTTAGATGGGTCCTTTTACAGTAGGTGAACAACCACCACTTCTACATGGCTTGTTGAACCGCATGTTTTCTGATGATAAAACAAGAAAACTGACTGGTTTCTTTTATTTTACAGTTAGTGGAATTCCAAACCCCCAGATGTGTGAGCACAAGCATTGCAACCGGATTTCTCATATGTTGACCTTAAATGAGCAGCAGGTACAACAAGTGACCACAAGGTGGGCCAACTAACTAAAGGCTGCCGCATCCTTCTGCGTCTGCGTCGTCGTGTCGACGCACTCGTTTTAGAACCAATTCATGGTTCTAAAGTATTGCGTGCGTTCACCTCCAGAACAACAGGAGGAGTAACATTTTTTTGTCGAATACGACCCAGAGAGTCACGTCTTTGTGTGTGGAAGTCGTTGGTTTATTTATTTATCTATCATAGACTTTATGGCCGCGTGCATCGCCACATCTGCTTTTCATTGTGGACACATTTGTGCCGTATTTTCCTCCACAACGCACCTCTCGACTGGAAAACCGCCGTTTGCGGAGATCTTCCTCCATGAATCAGAGGCCATCCGCACGTCCTTATAGAGCGCCAATGACGGCTTGTATAAGCGGTCATATTTACGCATTTCTTCCGACAAAAGTTCTTCAATCTGATCCGTTCTCTCGTAAACATTCTTCGTTTTAATAATGGCGGTATCGGGCTATGAAAGCGGAAATGTGAGACTCCGTAAAGGATGTAGTTAGCAGACCAATCGCAGCCTGGTGCGCTGCGGGAGGCTTGCGTCGCTTGCGTCGAAAGTGACGCAAGCCTAGAAAAATGGCTCGACACACGCAAGGGGGTCTTGCGTCTGCGTCGCTCTGAAAACGCAGAAGCATAAACTAGGCTTTATAGACCGCATAGGTTACACACTTAAATCCATCCATTTTTGTAAAACCTTTTGTTACATTGCTATTAGTGCGCTTTACCTGTAGTTTCTCCGGCAAAGTTATTCTCTCGTACCGAGTTCGGTCGGGGCTTCTTGGAAGAATACTGCTCGTGGTCGCTCTTGTTATGTTCTCCTGATGTACAATATCAGGAGAATATGTCCCCTTCTCACTCAGAAGGCAGCGCAGGTACTGATTCAGGCTCTTGTCATCTCACGCCTGGGAGATACTGCAACTCCCTCCTGGCATGTCTCCCTGCTACCGCCATTCGGCCTCTGCAGCTCATCCAGAATACAGCAGCTCGACTGGTCTTCAACCTTCCTAAATTCTCCCACACTACTCCACTCCTCCGCTCTCTTCACTGGCTACGGGTGGCTGCCCGCATCTCGTTTCTTGGTCTTGGTCTGAGTTTGTACCCTATGGTTGAATGCACTTATTGTAAGTCGCTTTGGATAAAAGTGTCAGCTCAATGACATGTAATCTAATCCAACATTGTTTTGTTCATATAAGTGTAATACGGTTAATTTGATTTGTACACAGTAAATGTCATCATTAACATATATTCAAAAGTTCATAGTTTGCTTTAATATAAATTCCAATGTACCAAACATACAGAGCAGTCAAAAAAACGTTTGTCTCCAGTGCAACAAAGTGCAAAGAATAGAATAAACATTTAGACAACATGTATATTGAGGACAACAATACTTGGTCTAATTAGCAGCAGTCGGACCTTGATGTCAGAACCTCAGACTCTTCTTGTGTAAACATTTAAAGATGAATAAGGTGTGGATGATGTTTCATCTGTTGCTGATTAGAAATCTGCGCCCCGTTCCTCATACATGGTTCAACTAAGTCCATCAAATGTTCCATTAGCCAAAATAAATTAACCTGATGATGGAAGTCAGGCTATCAAAGCGTTCATCCTGAAACTCTGGGACCTCGACACCTTCATATAGATGAAACAGGACTGAGGGTTTGTCATCAGTTAACATCTCACAGGAGATATAAAGGGAGTTGGTGAAGTGGTCCGTGCTGGTGGGGAACATCCATTCTAGTGAGATGTTGTGGTTCTCCTCTGCCTGATACCAGCTCTGTGTCACATTCACTACAAATGTCCCTGCTGAGGAGGCAGAGAAGGAGAAGAGGAGGTGACAAACTGACAGCTTTAACATGGAGCCTTTAGACCCCATGCAGACGGACTCTAGTTTGCCTGAACCCGGGTACATTTTTCACACCTACGCACTTTTTAAATCGCGTGCACATGAACCCAGTGAATCCGATTGACTCCGCTGTAGTACATCCCCCACGCCTGTTGGTGGCGCTTTAAGGTGCTACAGACAACTGAAGAAAACGGAAGGAGAAGACAGGAGCATGCGTATAAGACATGCGCGCCGTATACAAATATTATAGATATTCCCGTAGTACGCATTGTAGACTTGTTAGCACATTCAGCAGGCACATTATCCTTGCGTTCGCCATTGTTGTCGTTGTTATGAAGTGACGCATTGGGGTTAACAAGGGTTCAGCGTGAGGTTGCATGCAATCACGTGATGCAATCCAATTAGGTATGCGGATAGCGTGCAGACGAACACCAAAAGCAATCGGATTTCAAGTTTACTCACTTGTGCGGATACAGTGTGCGGATACAGTGCGTTCGTCTGCACAATAGGGCTATCCGGAGACGGGGTTCACCGGGTCCAGACAAACTAGACTCCATCTCCAGATGTTTCTGAGGAGTGTGTGCTGATGCTTCACAGCTGCTTTACAAACCCAAAAGTGAACTGACCACAGACACAGGAGGTCAGGATGAAGATCACCAGGATGCTGCAGATCATCTCCTCCCTATGAGAGGAGACAGAGGAGAAGAGGCTCAAACATCACATCAACATCAACAATCTACAGTGTGTCTTTACATCGTGATGCTCTTTTGTGTTTATCATCATGCTTGTTACAAACAGCTGTGATGCTAATGATAACATCCCTGAGAACAACAACCACAAAGTAAAGCTGGTTTTGCTGTAGATGATTCACTCATAGTCAAATAAAGTAAGTATAATTGCAAACAAACTGTCCACATATGAAATCAACAGGCTTTAAATCACATTGAGGTTGTCGCACATGCGCAAAAAGCATATAGGCGGGGCTCTGCTGATTCAAGCTGTCAATCATTGACAATACCAACTTTTTTTCTCCCTCCAGACTTGTTTCCATCTGCACCTCTTAATAGCCTTTAATGTCCTAACTAAGAGAAATGATGGGAAAACTATTTGCATTTCACCAGACGAGCCCACAATATCATCAAGGACAGAATCCTCCCCCAGACTATTCTCACAGAGATAACATTAAATATATGTTAACAGTATGATCATTGATGTGTATTGATTCAATTCCAAAATATACTTTTATTAATCATTTCTTTTACCATAAAACCAAAGTCTGGTATTAAATAATCCTTAGGAGACCATTTTAGCATTGTTAAAATATAAGATGCTATTTTCCAAAATGGATGATTAGATATTTGTTTATGCTTAACAGTTTACTTAACAGCGACCGTCGCTACCTTTTGAGTGGCAATTCAACCGTTTGGTAAAGCACATTTTTAAGACCCCCTTAAAGAAAGTGACAGTAACCCACGGAAACCTTTTGGAACTTAAAGTATGATTTCATCTTTCATTTACACACGCGAGTGTGGGACAGCCGACCGATATGACAAGAACACCAACATCAGGACATTCATTCATTCGTAAATTAATGTATTCATACCTTAAACGTCCTCAGTCATGTAAAGACATAAAGAGACGCGGTTCTTCTTCTTCAGTGTCCGAATTCTTCTTGAGGAACAAAGCGAGGACACAACGTGATAGAGACTGAGGCTGTAAGTCCACGTCTGCTGTTATAAACAGCGGTTTAAAGGAGCGTAGCGGCAGTGATGTTTGACCGCGATCACCCAAACCCATAAAACGACTTATCACGTCTCTTATCACTGATAAGTCCATATTAAATAACAAAACAATATGCGCCGTCTTCACTTCAAAGACGTATTGCTGCTCATATCGCGCGGTTTAAATCAGACACTTGACCATTCTTAGTTTCTATTTGATGAACAATCTGTCAGACAGGATCATTGCTAGCAGGGTTGAATAATTGAGTACTTTTATTTAACGACGCTTCATACTTCTGCTCCACTACATCTTTATATTGCACTTTTTACTTTACTACTGTTAGAAACTGCATGCAATTGCTCTCCTTTCCACAGGAGGCACAAAGTGGTGAGCTACCTCCCACACTATAACTAGAGGCCCTGTTGAGGCCAAGTTCCTGTTTGTTTCCTGACATGAGTGTTTCCATGTGTCTGTTGGACTGATGCCAATGTAAGTAGAGCTTTATTTCGTTTATCCATATTATGATGTAACTTAGTTTGTATATAAATTGATCTGTTTGTCATCCCAAATTTTGTAATCTCCTTTCTTTCCTTTTTGTATAGACCATGGAAATATTACGTGAACAACTAAAATAAATGGCATGGCTGAATAAAGATCGAAGTGCATGAAACCCCGTTTCAAGTCGGTTTGTGGCTCCAGTCGACCCCTAGATCCAGTACAAATGGTCGTTCGAGCCGGAGGCTGAGCCACACTCCGCACACCCACCAAAAATGGCTGATTCAGAGACCGAAGGCAGTACATCAATGGACAAGGCCACTATTGAAAAGACTTCTTGTATTAAAAATATGGATGATGGAGACCAGGGTGTAACAGACTTAACCCACAACTTGTTTCCAGTTTTATTAGACAAAATCTCCCTGAAGATGAAGATCAAGGTGAAGTGTCTGCTCCTACTCTCCCATCTCACCATGGAAATGCATCAACTTCTTTTTATAATCTACCTTCCTCCAGGATATTCACAAAGCGAGGACACAACGTGATAGAGACTGACGCTGTAAGTCCACGTCTGCTGTTATAAACAGCGGTTTAAAAGAGCGGGACGGCAGTGATGTTTGATCACCCATAAAACGACTTATCACGTCTCTTATCACTGATAAGTCCATATTAAACACCAAAACAAGATGCGCCGTCTTCACTTTATTACAGAGACTTATTGTTGCTCATATCGCGAGGTTTAAATCCGACACTTGACCATTCTTGGTTTCTATTTGATGCACAATCGGTGCGACAGGATCATTGCTAGCAGGGTTGAGTAATTGAGTGCTTTTATTTAATGACGCTTCATACTTCTCTGCCCCACTACATCTTTATATTGCA